TACAATAGTACTACCACCCTACAATAGTACTACCTCCCTACAATAGTACTACCACCCTTACTATATTACTACCACCCTTACAATAGTACTACCACCCTACAATAGTACTACCACCCTACAATAGTACTACCTCCCTACAATAGTACTACCACCCTTACAATATCACTACCACCAAACAATAGCACTACCACCAAACAATAGCACTACCATCCAACAATATCACTACCATCCTAAAATAGCACTACCACCCAATATCACTACCACCCAACAATAGCACTACCACCTAACAATAGCACTATTAACTAGCAATATCACTACCACCCAACAATAGCATTACTAACTAACAATATCACTACCACCCAACAATAGCACTACTAACTAACAATATCACTACCACCCAACAATAGCACTACCACCCTACAATAGTACTACCACCCAACAATAGCACTACTAACTAACAATAGCACTACCACCCAACAATAGCACTACCACCCAACAATAGAACTACCACCCTACAATAGCACTACCACCCAACAATAGCACTACCACCCTACAATAGCACTACCACCCTACAATAGCAATACTACCCTACAATAGCACTACCACTCAACAATAGCACTACCACCCTACAATAGTACTACCACCCTACAATAGCAATACCACCCTACAATAGCACTACCACCCTACAATAGCACTACCACCCTACAATATCACTACCACCCTACAATAGCAATGCCACCCAACAATAGCACTACCACCCTACAATAGCACTACCAACCTACAATAGCAATACTACCCTACAATAGCACTACCACCCTACAATAGCACTACTACCCAAGAATAGCACCCAACAATAGCGCTACCACCCAACCACGGAAATGTAAAAATCTAAGGATGATTCAAGTTAGCTGAGATTTCACCACTATAGTATATATAAGGCCTGTTTTGCCGCAAGAATATCGTCCCTGTGATGAATAGAGGTATACAGAGAGGACGCATACGCAGTGACTAGAAAACTGTGTGTAGGAATTCTGCCAAGATCGTTTCCTTAAAGTACGAGTTTACTCTGATGGCAAGTAGTTTGAGATAATAGTCAATCATGGTCGACAACTTTTCTATAGGTCCGCCTACAGCACGAACTGTAGGTCTACCTGGGTTTCCGGGTTTGTGTATTTTGGACAGGAGATGGAAAAGAGGTGTCCAGACAGCCTTGATAGTGTTGAATGAAGCTATGTCTTCAGCGTGTTTAGATTTGACCTTTTGATAAAAAGGATTATTATTGTATCATTACTACCATATATAAACTAATATTTAGTTTTAGGTTACCCTTATTTAAAATGGCAATCATATGCAGGAGGTCAATGTATAGGTCATTGAAGGTCATAGGTCAATCAAGTCATTATCTTCTATGCTGTAGCTAGAGAACAACAAAGTATGTCTGTTCTGTGGACACTATTTTCTGCATACTCTGTGTATATCAAAAACATTGATGTGTACGGATTCCAAGAAAAATTGATTAAAAATCAACGATTTGCAAAAGATGAATCAAAACAGATCTCTGGTTTTTCAGTTATTCTGTCCACAAGCCCTTTCACCTGGCATGATAGCACAAGTTAGTGGGCTTTGTCCACCAGCTTAAAAAAAAAGACACAAGAATCCATTACTAACAAAAACTTAGATTTTATTGGGTTTCTTTTTCACTTTCTATACATCTGAGTACAGACTCGAGAAGTGATTAATCTACATACAAGTCCTGGGACAAATGACTCATACTTTTCTTAAATGTCCCTTTAAAATTAGGACATTAAACATGATAATATGGTTAGGGAATACTGACTATTTTCTGGTATTTCAGGGGAAAATGTCCCAATGTTTTAAAATGCAGATAAATCACTGTTCAAGATGGCAATGACAATGTTTTTAATCCCTATGTACCAGGTCCATGCTGGGTTCAGCCTAACAATTACAGCCTGTTGTATATAGGGTTGAATATACACCAAAGAGTGTCACAACAGTCAGACTTATTGCAGCTTAAACATAATCCATAAAAAACTACTTTCATTTTAAATTGATAGTGTAACACAAACAAAAACAAAATCATTAATAAGAAAATCGACTTTGTAATATCAAACAGTATTTTCAATATAATTCAATATAGAGATTTAATAACTTAAATTACAGTATTTTCTTACATTTCCTTGAAATTACTTTGTGATAGAAAAGTGTCAACATAAACAGAAGTTTAGCTCTGTGAAACCAAATTTTAATTAATTTCTATAAATCAGTACAAATAGAATCTTAAGCAGTGGAATCAGATTTTTGAGAATGAAAACTTTACTTTCTTCACTTTCCAGACAAAGGTTGACTCTCAACTCTTGTACAAAGTATGTAAGTAAAAATAGGAAATAATAAAAGATAAAAAAAAATAATTGAAAATAAAATTCAGGATGGAGTGAACTGAGAATTAAGAAACGCATCTGCACAAAAGATACAGATATGTCACTGTTTTAGCGAAATAACAAGAAAGGACGGAAAGTGAAATACAAAAATGCACACTATTAATGAACTGCACACACTGCTGATGGTATCAACCTAACAGACAGAATGATAGTTTCAGAAATGAAATATATGCCATATGTAGATTAGAAATTGAAGAGAAAAAATTAACTGCTACACTCACATAAGTTCCTATGTAACTAGATTATTTTTAAAAGGTATATTCACAACCAATGAGCCTAATTATGAAAAAAATCACAATGAAAGCTATTCTGTAAATGATTAATCACAATATCACAATTGAACTAAATCTACAACAAAGAAAAGATTTGTGACTAACTGACAACTCATATTATGTAATTGGTTCTGCTAACCTAACTTGTGAGTGTCTAGACATTATTATTGCACATATATGTAAGACATAAATCATTACTACATCACATGGACATTAGGGTAGAAGAGGTACCTGGATTTCAAAACAACTTTATAGCTTATTTTTCATCTACATAAGGGACCATTGCACAAAATGTATATCTCCTTTCCTTTAATCAAATACTTCTAACACATATAATGGTGATATTTTACAACAGAGGAAAGATAAGGGCCATTGCACTAATAATATACTATAGAGTTTCTTCCCTTTTAACAAAACACTTTCTAATACTAAATTTCATGGTAGAATTGTAATGCATGTTATTAACATTTTCCTACAGGAATGAACAAATGTGAATAATAATGATTATTATGATAGTATATATATATATATATATATTTACCCATTTCCAATGATTATGATCTAAATATAAATATACATATTTATCTTACCCTTCACCCAGCATGAACAGTCAATCTAGAACACAACCTTCCATTATAATACAGCTATATTTATGTATCCACCATCCTTACACACATAGAACAACAGCATGCTCTGTGTGTAGACATATATCAGACAACGACACATATCATGGGACAGGCATTTTCATAATCACAACATTTCAGTAAATCTTACAATATAGATAATATATAGATATATGCTGTCCTTGACTGGCAACAGACTTCATATGAAATCCAGGAAGAGCAGTCAAAGTATTGCCGAGATTCTCTGTAAATACATATAGGAATGTCATGTAGTAAAGCAATGGCATAACATCACTTCAAATCCTAGTTAAGTCCACTTTATTTTCTGTTAATCTGAACAGACAATTCCCAAAACAGATCTCACAGTCAATAGTAACAGTACAATATAAAATTCATAAATTCAGAGACAACAGAAAATCTCAACAAAATAAAAATAAATAACAAAATGCCTTAAATATGATAAGTCTGTAACAAATTTAAACACAATGTAATACATAACTAAACAAATCACACAAAAGATCTTGGATTAGTTAAAGAAAATTGGATTTCATGAAAACATCAAAGCAGTAAAACAAAAAATTTCAATTGGATTTCATTCGATTATCACGAAATTTTAGTGTCGTCATGGAAACAACTTTTCATGATAAATGGATTTCATAAGGTAAGATAATTTGTACATTATACAAAGTGTACAGGTATTCATATAAATATCAGTTTAATATCCTCAGAAACACTATTAATTAATCAATAAAATTGATTCCATACAAAAAAAAATTTAAAAATGAATCATTGAACAAATTTAGTCATTCTATTAGTATTTTTTTCTTAGCTCTGTAATAGAGTAAAAGTTTGCAAGGAAAGTCACAAATTAAAAATACAAGTAGCTCGGAAAAATCATGTTTTACAATTGCAATTGTCCAAAATATGAAGCCTTCACCTACTGTGACTATGTCCAGTATGAGAGAGTAAAGCAAGCAAGGCTTCACCTACTGTGACTATGTCCAGTATGAGAGAGTAAAGCAATCAACATTCACATCCAGATTTGTTACTTTAGTATCACATTGGTAACAGCGGGCAATGTTTCAGCAGTCACATTGTGAACATCACAATGTACAGTGTATTATTAGAATAGAAAACATTAAAGTATTCATTGAAGATAAGAAAACCTTTTGTGTACATATTACTTTAAATGATAAAGTATCTGGTGGAGTGTCGTTATTTTGTGACTTGATATGCATGACTTGTGTTTAAACATAAAACAACAAACTTATGCCATTATATACTTCACAAGCTTAATGCTTGGCATCAATCTGATAAAATATAGATATTAACCTATGATGAGTTTCCTAAATATGCCCCAGAAATATGAGAATGTATTTTTTTTTTTTTTAAAGAGATCGCTGTAAGACAGTCAAGAAGAAATTTATAGAATCAGACATAATAGTAGGCCTTTATTTTTTAAACACTATGTAATAATTCCAAACGCAATTGTCTTCCATCTTGGCATCCAGGGTTGGATTCCCTGAACAGACATCAAAAGGTATCGGGTAACCTTTCCAACCACATGGACTTTCTCTGGATACTCCTGTTTCCTTCCACAGTGACCCTCCCACCCCACCCCACCCCCTATAGACTTGCATCAATTCCATCCAGGACAACAAGAGTGATTTATATAACATGGAATAACTTGTTTTACAATTGTTGTAAAATAAATAAAGTTCAATTGAAAAAGAATTCCAAAGAAGCTCATAAGTTAAACACTAACACTTGTGTTATTACAAAATAGGGAAAATTTTCAGATGTACACAAACCAAATAAGAGAAGATCTAATTAAAAAAAACAATGACATAGGAACACAGTTTGGAATTTTCTGACACTAACTGTACAGGACCTTGCATGATTTATACACATTATCACTATCACAACTCTCACATATTATCAGGTCTGCTGATATGCCTTCTAACTAATAATAACTTCCCTTTTGTCTCTATCATCCCATTCACAAAATCTTGCAATTGCTCTCTCTATAGTCAGACTTGAAATACCCTCTCTTCATCCTTAGTTATCAGGAAACTTCTGACTTTTCCTTCTAGGTCTAAACCCCATATTTCCACTCCCATCACAAACCCTAACTTATGGTATCAGTTTTCCTCTGTAAGTCTTAAACACAAGTTACCATTCTCTCCTTTCCTCATCATGTTGAATTAAACCTGTCACTCTTCATTGTAAATTTCCAACTATAGCTGTTGTTCTTTTCATTGTAATCAACTAATGAACCCCTTTCCTCAAATTTTTCCACCAAGTCTCAAAGATCGTCATTCGACAATATGTAATTGTAACTGTATACCAGCCATAATGTGTATCTTAACAGCTACACCGAAACACTTCCCATAATAGCCAAACTTCATTAAATGAGATAACATCGTGTAATGTGACATTGAAACTTCCGGCCATATTGCACAATGATGATGATCCCCTAGTCATCTTACATCTCCTGATCAGAGTATTAACATTAAGCAGAGAAAAATCTAGCTAGTCTTGGAAAATTTTAGTTGGAGGGAAGTAGAAACTACACTGAAATTACTTTGTAATCTCGTACATGAATTACATCATAATCATATGACATCAAAAGGTTTAAATTGCAAACCTCAAAATATGTAGAGAAAGGCTAGTTGTTCTTCAACACTGGCAAAGACCATATTAGAGGTTTACTTGTTATAAATAGATAGAATTATTGAGTTAAAAGGCATTTTATTGGATATAAGTACTGATCTTCTCTCGCAAGATTTATTTTACCGTGAAAGGCCTTTACAGTTACCCGACTTCTATAACCAAATGGTTTGTTACGATTTCCTACGTCACAGAAATCACCTTGTTAACAAGGATAACTTGAACAACATTGTGTATGTAATGCAAAATTAATGTTACATGAACTGTCACCCACTTCTGCTTAACTAGACATTTCAAGACCCTTCCATCAATGTAAGTATCCGATTATTGTTTACCATATCCAAATATTGAGAATTTAAAATTGATTAGATCTCTTTTGGCCTTGTCCATCAGCCCCTAGGGGCCAAGGTCAATATGTGTATACAAATGGTACGATATTAAGACATTTATTGTTCAAACTTGAACATTAAAAATCTAATGGTCAAGATTGTAATTTCTCTATGTAATCATAAACTTTACCCCCTCCCCAAATGGAATGGTTTCTTTTCTTTTTGCACTGTGTGATTTTTTAACTTAATATTCAATGAAAGGAAAGCTCCACTACTGTGGCCAGCTGTGTGAGCAGCAACTGAAAGGCTTTAAAACGCATCCTTGATGTTGCTGAATGGTCTCACAGCCAGGTCTACCGGTAAATGGAAGTTGAATTTACTCAGTCTGTCCATGGATTTCAGTGAATCATCAAAACCTGAAAATCAAAGAGGTATAAAATAAACAATTATTGAAATATTATAAAATCACAACCAAATGTTTTAATCCTTTCAATATTACTTCATATAACAAACATTCTGTCAGACTTATTTCGTTGGTTACCAGTTTTTCATCTCCATGATACATCCTATCACAAGGCGTCGTCTCACAGTCAAACATCAGTGTTCTAGCCATGTGTATTAGAGCTAATCCTAAAGGCCACTATTAAAACCCTCGCCTGATTACTCCATATAACACCTCCTTGTACGAGCCACTATTAAAACCCTCGCCTGATTACTCCATATAACACCTCCTTGTACGAGCCACTATTAAAACCCTCGCCTGATTACTCCATATAACACCTACTTATAAGAGCCACTATTGACACCTTAGCATGATTACTCCATATAACACCTCCTCGTACGAGCCACTATTAACACCTTTGTATGATTACTCCATATAACACCTCCTCGTACGAGCCACTATTAACACCTTCGTATGATTACTCCATATAACACCTCCTCGTACAAGCCACTATTAACACCTTCGCGTGATTACTCCATATAACACCTCCTCGTACGAGCCACTATTAACACATTCGCGTGATTACTCCATATAACACCTCCTCGTACGAGCCACTATTAACACCTTCGCGTGATTACTCCATATAACACCTCCTCGTACGAGCCACTATTAACACCTTCGCGTGATTACTCCATATAACACCTCCTCGTACGAGCCACTATTAACACCTTCGTATGATTATTCCATGTAACACCTTCTCGTACGAGCCACTATTAACACCTTCGCGTGATTACTCCATATAACACCTCCTCGTACGAGCCACTATTAACACCTTCGCATGATTACTCCATATAACACCTCCTCGTACGAGCCACTATTAACACCTTCGTATGATTACTCCATGTAACACCTTCTCGTACGAGCCACTATTAACACCTTCGCATGATTACTCCATATAACACCTCCTCGTACGAGCCACTATTAACACCTTCGTATGATTACTCCATGTAACACCTACTTGTAAGAGCCACTATTAACACCTTTGCGTGATTACTCCATATAACACCTCCTCGTACGAGCCACTATTAACACCTTCGCATGATTACTCCATATAACACCTCCTCGTACGAGCCACTATTAACACCTTCGTATGATTACTCCATGTAACACCTTCTCGTACGAGCCACTATTAACACCTTCGCATGATTACTCCATATAACACCTCCTCGTACGAGCCACTATTAACACCTTCGTATGATTACTCCATATAACACCTCCTCGTATGAGCCACTATTAACACCTTCGCGCGATTACTCCATGTAACACCTCCTTGTACGAACCACTCCTTATTGGACAGAACCTGATTTTTCATTGTTATATAGCCCAGCCTCTGATAATTCACAGTGTTATTTACTTGTATGGCCACTATTTTTAGCCTAATCCCTGACAACTCAGAATTACACATACTTGTATGGCCACTATTTTTAGCCTAATCCCTGATAACTCAGAATTACACATACTTGCATGGCCACTATTTTTAGCCTAATCCCTGATAACTGAGAATTACCACATACTTGTGTGGGCCACTATTTTTAGCCTAATCCCTGATAACTGAGAATTACACATACTTGTATGGCCACTATTTTTAGCCTAATCCCTGATAACTCAGAATTACACATACTTGTATGGCCACTATTTTTAGCCTAATCCCTGACAATTCAGAATTACACATACTTGTATGGCCACTATTTTTAGCCTAATCCCTGATAACTCAGAATTACACATACTTGTATGGCCACTATTTTTAGCCTAATTCCTGATAACTGAGAATTACACATACTTGTATGGCCACTATTTTTAGCCTAATCCCTGATAACTGAGAATTACACATACTTGTATGGCCACTATTTTTAGCCTAATTCCTGATAACTGAGAATTACACATACTTGTATGGCCACTATTTTTAGCCTAATTCCTGATAACTGAGAATTACACATACTTGTATGGCCACTATTTTTAGCCTAATCCCTGATAACTGAGAATTACACATACTTGTAAGGCCACTATTTTTAGCCTAATCCCTGATAACTCAGAATTACCACATACTTGTGCGGGCCACATAGCTCCAGTCCTGGTAGTAGTGATCAATTAGTGACTGTGTTCGGAACAGCAACTTCAACCATGTGGAAAGTTTCTTTTCACTGTGAAGGAAAGAGTTACACTTTTATAAACCCATCATTTTTGTGTTCTTTATATATTAAGATTTTTGTCCATGTATTTGATAGATTAAATGTTGAGAATAAAAAATACAGAAATGTTGCAAATAGGCCATGTTGTTCTGTGTCCTATTTTTACATTCTTATGAGCTTAAATCCTGCACTAAACCCTCTTTGAACTTAAGATATACCACAGCGGGAAATGCTTAATATCATGTTCTGTTTGTCAGGAAGAAATGTAATAATAAGTGGAATGTGGAATTAACAGTTGACACATTTTTTTATGACGACTAAGCCCCAGAGTTAACTTTCTGATGTGCCACACTGACTTCTTTCATACAAAAATTGTTCAGAAACAAGAATTTGTAATCTATTTTGTTTTTTTCCAGTAAGTGATTTTTCTTAACTTCTATTTGTTTATTCTTTGAAATTCTCACCTGCTTTCATATTTTATCATGACCAATAATCTCTTAGTCACAGTTTACACATGGTAAAATTAGTACATGACAGACACTATGGTGTCATCAACTGATATTTTACTGCATAATTAGTTTATCCAACACTGTGAAGGCTTCATCACACTGTTGATATATATTCAGTGTGTATCTCTGCAATGTCAATAAAGTGTTTTCTGAAGAGCACTTTCATCAAACATTGCTGACAAAAATAGCCGACAGAGTGATGAACTATTCATCTTTGTTACACCATATTTTATTGGCTGTTATATCAGTGGTTATTTTTAATGGTCACCTTACCAGTGCTTACTGTTATTTAAGCAATAAATGTTTAGAAAAAAAAAGATCAAAACATCAAAGTTCTAATATGACCAGATGGATTTTCAATCTTCATTCCATATAATTTGTCATATACCCTGAACAAATTGTTTGGAAGAATACATCAACAGAAAAGATGTAAGTGGTCCAATGATGCTTTTTGGGGCACCTGTGATAATAAATAATTCATGCTTCATCTCCTTAAACTTGAAGTTCAAAGCAATTATCTTAGCATCTTAAGCAATGTAACAGAAATCAGAAATTTAAAGATGGCAACATTAGTAATGACCACTTGACATGCTATGGTCAGTGTCCCAAAGGTCAATGTAAAGTGAAACAAAACAAACACAATTTTTCATTAATTAGGGTTCATGTTTCCAACCCTATTATGACACCATGTTGATCTACATTAATGAAAGAATGCTATTTCACAATGCCTGAATGTTCATTTTGCCAAAAAGCTTAAGCAGATCTACTGAGATCTACTTGTCTCTGCCTGGTTAACTTACTTGAGAGCTAGAGATATAAATGCCTTGAAGTGGGAATCCTCTGTTCGTTTGAGTGGTGTATGGGATGTGATGACCGTATCAATGGCCCCAAGTAAAGTCTGTTTGGCAGTGATTGGCTTTCCCCCGACAATATCCAGATGAAAGGACTGAGACAGCTTCCTGAATGGTGAATCATTGTATTCTTTTCCATGCTGTAAAGGTACAATAAAGTAACTATTCATTAGCAACAAACGTGAATAAACATTTTAAAATCTTGTCAGCATTCCAACCATTTATATATGAAGAGCAAATATATTCTATCTAATGTTGTTTTGTATATAGAGATTTCAGTGAAACTCTTTAAGAACTAGCTATATGAACAGATGCCAGAAGGATCTTAGTATCTTTTCGTGTATGGTCTTCATCTGCTCTTTAAAAGTTGGATCTTTTCCCTTCTTTTCGGTTCTTTTTACTTTTTAAAATTGGAATTTAAGAAAGATTCATCTCAAGAAATAGCAATAACAAACTTCAAAAAGAGTAATCATGGTTGTGGATGGGTTATTTCCCTTCTTTGACTCTTGTGAAGTGGAGTTAACAAGATATCTCTTGTCTATATGTGGTAAGATTTCCAAAGCAAATGATAGAGTGTAGCAATGGAATAAGTATCTAAAAGTGTTAAATTCCAACATTTCAACTTCTTCATAATACAAGAAACACTAATACATACATATGTGAGACAGTAAAGATGAAACTAAAAATTCAAAACTAATCTTAAAGAAACACTTGATCAAATATTTATCATTTAGTTAAGTTTAATACAAAATAATGTTTTAATATAAAAAGATAAATAACAGGCCATCAGCCTGAATACTGATTTCATGAAAACTTTCCCAACCACAATTGGACATATATGACAATGATGAGATTTAAAGCAAGAGGCATTTGCAATAATTGTCATATATGCCTGTTTATAGTGTTGCCCCAATGACCTGTTTACAATCACTTCAATTTCAACAGAATTCTTTATTGTTATACTGGTAACTACTATTGTCAAAATCCATGATGACAGTCCGGCAGCCATTAGTCCTTAAAAGAGCCACAAAGTAAGAGGATGACTTTGAAAACCAAAAGGTGGCTAGGTGACTCAGAAAGGACAATGGTGAGTTGCTATGATAAAATCAGATATACACATACCTTCATCTCATAAAACCTCAAGAGTAAGTCCCAGGCATGCATCTGTTTGGTGACAGCTGCTGACCGGTTCGGGATACAACCAAATGGAACTACACTGGTACTTTGTCCAATCTATGTAAATAATTATTTAATGCATTAATAAGTTCCTGATGAGAAGAAGTGATAAAAGTTAGATTGGATGAAAGCATCCTAGAATCTAATCAGAAGATCCATTGGACCCTGTTGGGATAAAAATCAAGCCATGAAAAATAAATATTTTAAAAAAAGATAGATTCTGACGTCATAAACAAGATGAAAATGACTTCACGACAGGTATATGATTTCTCTAATATCTACAATTAGTATGCTTTCTATCTTCCGTAAATTAAAATTTCCCTTGGTTTACATTGTAACAGATTTTCAATGTTATTGCCAACTTCTTGAAATTGAGATATCATACCCCTAGTACATATCCCCAGATCAAGAGATTTTAAACCAAGTTCCTGAGAACTACACTCAATCTTCTGCATAAAGACAATTTAGAGGATATGTTTTCAAACCTACCTCCATGAGTCCATGCTGCATGAGATCTCGGATGGTCATAGACAAATCTTTCCTCACAGCTTGTGTTAAAGCTGGGCTACTCTGCTCCTGGCTCTGAAATAAAAATGACATATGTTAGATAATCGATGGGCAGTATAGGCACACACTATTCATGAGTTTGCTATGGATAGTTCTTAACAATGAAGATATGTTCTAGATGGTTTATTTACCACAGCTCTTATGTATACCTACACAGTTTACAGCTTTCCTCCAACAACTCAGCATCCTAATTCTCCAGACTTACATCTACACTGTCTACAGCTGTCCTTCAACAACTGATCCTCCTAATTCTCCAGACTTACATCTACACTGTCTACAGCTGTCCTTCAACAACTGATCCTCCTAATTCTCCAGACTTATACCTAAACAGTCTACAGCTGTCCTATCACCACTAATCCTCCTAATTCTCCATACTTATAAACAATATTCAAGTTACTCAATTTTTAGCCGTGTATTTATTTCTCTAAAATGATTATACCACCTAAAACTGCATTTCTCACCCTTCAAAGCCTACAGCAGTCCCGTCATTGTCAACTAAATGAACACAATCCTTCTGCACAATTGTACCTCCTCCTCTAATAAATTGACATCTCTTGGTCTACTTCCTACCAGCATTAAGTTAGTGACCTCTCTAAATCAGTCTTACAATTGACTCACTTCCTCCAATTATTAAGTTAGTGACATCTTTAAAGAAATCTTACTGTTGACTCACTTCCTCTCAGCATTAAGTTTTTGACCTTTCTAAACTTATTTTACAGTTGACCCACCTCCTCAGAGTCACTGCCATAATCGTCCTGATTCTCTTGTTTCAATTCCTTTTCATCCTGCTGTTCTTTTGCCAAGTCTGCAACTTTTGTTATAGCAACTTCAAGTCTGGCCCTCAAATCACTGTAAATAATAACTTGTGACTTTGATTACTTTGTTTTTCTTCAATTATTTCTATTTACTAAAGATCAGATTTATTCACCGAGTTATATAACACATAAACATGTAGAACAAAGACTTATGTATGTTCCAATTCTGCTTAACTTACCCCCAGTGGTTGCCCTTGGTAGTCTTTTTGAGGACATTCCTCTGAAAGTCCCTGCTACCACAACCAAACTGACTCAACAGGAACATTTGAAGCACTGTAATTGTTCTCCTGATAAATGCTGTTGTCTCACGAATGTTCTACAATTCAAATCATGTGATTCTTATTATGGACACTTGTTGTTCTGCTATCTGGTTCTGGAAAGGTTTTTTGTTTGTTTTTCCTGTGAATATTTGTAAGGGTGTCCATTAAAGGAAGGATTTTTAGTTTTTCAATATATATAAGGTCCTAACAACATTGGGTGCCTGAATAAATACACACTGTAATTGCGACAGTGTTGTTATGAATGAAATCTTTTTGTCAGTAAGTATACTGGATGTAAATAATTCATCAATAAACCAAGCATTGTAGCTTGTGGTATGTTACTTAAATATTTTGAGAAATATCATTTATTAATAAAGCATTCATAGTTGACCTCTAACCTCTGCCTCATGGGATTCATCATAGGGCCTGAATATGGAGAGCTGAATCTGAATAATTACCAGCTGCTTTTTAACCTAACCTTATGATCATATGTCCATTGCACCAGCACATTTAGAAATACTTCTATAAGACAGACAAAACACAAGATCATTAAAGTAAGATTTGGTACAAAAGTGTTCATACCTTTGCTCTAGCTTTGCCGTCTTTAAGAGAGGCTCGTCCACTTTGTGGAGCTACACAACAATCTTTTCCATGGTCCGATCCATCATCGCCAAACTGTCAATAAAAAAATCGAGAATAAGGTAATCATGACTGGCTGTGTCATCCACATTCAAATATTAAACTTTGCTTATATATTTTGAAATATCAGTCAGTAAATGATAACTTCTTAAGTATTTGTTAAAATAATATGTCAGAAATTTTTTATGAATTGTAATATCAAGACTTTGAGAAGATGTAAAATATTTCAGAGAAACACAGACAAAAAATTAAGCACATTGTCTCATAAATAAAATGAGCAATTGCAAGTTTCTTAAACTTCATTTTCTATTATGTATGGAGCTATGACAATATCAGTGTGAAAGCTAATGTGACATATAGCTGGGATACATGTAAAGATACACCATATGATTGTTTCAATAGTCATCAAGTGTAATATTTTTGACAGAAGTTTTGTCAGGAGGCAGTCAGTAGTAATTCATAGGTGATGATAACATAATAACACAGGGAAAAAGTTTAGGCCAAGAGATGTATTACCATTCCTTGTGGGTAGACATTTCATCTGATTGATGAAGTAAGAAAAGCACCAAGTGGAAACAATGTATACTTCTCTCATAACCGGGTCTTGGGTCACAGTGATCAAAGTTGTAGTTCATTGTTATAAAATTTCCATGCAACATGCTGTGCTCATATGGACATATAAGCATGAAAAGTTAGATACTAGCTGCATTATTTCATTTCTTTTATTACATCTATATAAGGACAGTACCACCGGGTAGAACAATAAGTCCATCCCATGTCAAAGAAAATACATTATTGTATCAAAATGAAAGACTGAGTAGAAATGTCAAGAGGAAAAAACAGTGCCATATGTTTTGATGATAAAATAACCACGTTATTAAGAAATGGATAGAATACTGGGAAAAAATTTCCAAACAATCAAAATGCTTTTTACACAGAGTTTCAAAGAAATTGGTTAAAAACTGATGGAGGATATATCCCAACAAGGATAAAATGCTTAAAAAAGGGGCAATAACTCCTCCAAAATTGTCAAATCAAACTGCTGTACAAGAAAATACATGTTATGATCAGGGTGATAAAGCCTACCAGAAAGAGATCAGTAGAAAACTGTGGAAGAGAATATCTGGACAAGATTAAATTGCTGAAATAACACTAAGGGCAATAACTCCCATAGAAATTGCTCATTCAAATTGCCATCCATAAAAAACAGAACTTTATCTCAAGGTGTTAAAGCCTAAAAATTCTGAGAGAGATCAGTTGAAAAATGTGAAAGGTGATCTTGATAAAAGTAAAAGCTTAAAACCATCATACAAAGCCATACCATAATACGTCCTGTCAAAAATGTTTAGAGGCATATAAAAAGCAACACTTCTGCTTAGTAATAGTTCCTATATTGAGCTGTCACAAGTTCTGGCATAAGACAAGCACAATCCATGATTTGCAAGCTCATTGGAAGCATCCATTGCAAACTGTCTCATCATTTTACACACATGTATGAAATACAAGGGGCATGGGATAAATAATAATGGACTTCTGAAGTAATATACTGTACAGCTGTACTGTAAAAAGTGACAAACAAATTTTAAATTCATATCATCAATCATGTATTTTTAGACCTATAAGCTGTCAAGAAATTAACCCCAGATTTTTTTTTAGGTTTTGGGATGGGACATCAATGCTGAGAGACAGCATAAGCTTATCAATACTTGTAATCGACAAGCTAACAAGGTAAAAAGGTAAAGATTCCGTGAGAAGTTACTGGATAGATAATAGAGTATTAAGTATAAGAAATTCTGGAGTTCGTCATGAAATAATGTGATTATGTTTTTGAGATTATTATATTTGGTAAGGTAACTGAATATTTCAATAGTTCTTAACAAAGGAATAAAAAGTTCTGTATTCACAACAGAAAAATGCATCCATGAGCCAAAATGAAGTAATTTAGCCAAAGAAATGACACAAATTGAGAGACTTTGGGAATAACAGATGGTTTTCAAACTGAAACTCAGTCCCTCTATCCATTTATTTCTTCCATGCATCAATATAAGTACAGATAACAGTTAAGTCATCATAATCAGGAAACAATCATGAAAGAATTATCCTGAATGTCATAAGGTGGTAACTTCTCTTCTGTATCAAATATCCTAAAATTTAGAAGGACATTGTCTCTCCTGAATCAATTACCATGATTTCTCTCCTGCATCAATTACCCTGAATGTCAGGAGGTAGTCTGTCCTACATCAATTACCCTGAATATCAGGAGGTATACTCCAATTACCCTGAATGTCAGGAAGTAGTCTGTCCTACATCAATTACCCTGAATGTCAGGAGGTAGTCTGTCCTACATCAATTACCCTGAATGTCAGGAGGTAGTCTTTCCTACATCAATTACCCTGAATGTCAGGAGGTAGTCTTTCCTACATCAATTACCCTGAATGTCAGGAGGTAGTCTTTCCTACATCAATTACCCTGAATGTCAGGAGGTAGTCTTTCCTACATCAATTACCCTGAATGTCAGAAGGTATCCTTTCCTACATCAATTACCCTGAATGTCAGGAGGTATCCTTTCCTACATCAATTACCCTGAATGTCAGGAGGTAGTCTGTCCTACATCAATTACCCTGAATGTCAGGAGGAAGCCTTTCCTACATCAATTAACCTGAATGTCAGGAGGTAGTCTGTCCTACATCAATTACCCTGAATGTAGGGAGGTATCCTTTCCTACATCAATTACCCTGAATGTCAGGAGGTAGTCTGTCCTACATCAATTACCCTGAATGTCAGGAGGTAGTCTTTCCTACATCAATTACCCTGAATGTCAGGAGGTATCCTTTCCTACATCAATTACCCTGAATGTCAGGAGGTAGTCTGTCCTACATCAATTACCCTGAATGTCAGATCAATTAACCTGAATGTCAGGAGGTAGTCTTTCAATTACCCTAATATCATCAATTACCCTGAATGTCAGGAGGTAGTCTGTCCTACATCAATTACCCTGAATATCAGGAGGTAGTCTGTCCTACATCAATTACCCTGAATGTCAGGAGGTATACTTCAATTACCCTGAATGTCAGGAGGTAGTCTGTCCTACATCAATTACCCTGAATGTCAGGAGGTAGTCTTTCCTACATCAATTACCCTGAATGTCAGGAGGTAGTCTTTCCTACATCAATTACCCTGAATGTCAGGAGGTAGTCTGTCCTACATCAATTACCCTGAATGTCAGGAGGTAGTCTTTCCTACATCAATTACCCTGAATGTCAGGAGGTAGTCTTTCCTACATCAATTACCCTGAATGTCAGGAGGTAGTCTTTCCTACATCAATTACCCTGAATGTCAGGAGGTAGTCTGTCCTACATCAATTACCCTGAATGTCAGGAGGTAGTCTGTCCTACATCAATTACCCTGAATGTAGGGAGGTATCCTTTCCTACATCAATTACCCTGAATGTCAGGAGGTAGTCTGTCCTACATCAATTACCCTGAATGTCAGGAGGTAGTCTTTCCTACATCAATTACCCTGAATGTCAGGAGGTAGTCTTTCCTACATCAATTACCCTGAATGTCAGGAGGTAGTCTTTCCTACATCAATTACCCTGAATGTCAGGAGGTAGCCTTTCCTACATCAATTACCCTGAATGTCAGAAGGTATCCTTTCCTACATCAATTACCCTGAATGTCAGGAGGTATCCTTTCCTACATCAATTACCCTGAATGTCAGGAGGTAGTCTGTCCTACATCAATTACCCTGAATGTCAGGAGGAAGCCTTTCCTACATCAATTACCCTGAATGTCAGGAGGTAGTCTGTCCTACATCAATTACCCTGAATATCAGGAGGTATACTCCAATTACCCTGAATGTCAGGAGGTAGTCTGTCCTACATCAATTACCCTGAATGTCAGGAGGTAGTCTGTCCTACATCAATTACCCTGAATATCAGGAGGTATCCTTTCCTACATCAATTACCCTGAATGTCAGGAGGAAGCCTTTCCTACATCAATTACCCTGAATGTCAGGAGGTAGCCTCTCCTACATCAATTACCCTGAATGTCAGGAGGTAGTCTGTCCTACATCAATTACCCTGAATGTCAGGAGGTAGTCTGTCCTACATCAATTACCCTGAATGTCAGGAGGTAGTCTGTCCTACATCAATTACTCTGAATGTCAGGAGGTAGTCTGTCCTACATCAATTATCCTGAATGTCAAAAGGAAGTCTTCTAAATTCGTCTAAAAGCATAGTGTGAAGTTAGTTTGTATTCAAACAGCAGTATTATGTTAGTTACTTTTCATAACTATCATAACTATCATTTATAACTCCTCATAAAACCAATGTTAAGTTTATAACTCCTAGTTAAAGCAGTGTAAAGTTTTGAACTCTAATATAAGCAGCATTAAGTTCTAAACTCCTAGTAGAAGCTGTGTTAAGTTCATAACTCCTAATAAAGTCAGTGTTTAGTTTATAACTCCTAATAAAACCAGTGTTAAGTTTATAACTCCTAACAAAGCCAGTGTTAAGTTTATAACTCCTAATAAAACCAGTGTTAAGTTTATAACTCCTAATAAAACCAGTGTTAAGTTCTCCGCATATCAGTGTTATATGATTGTAGTGTTAAATCAATTAATGATAAAATTGTTGTGCTGAAGTTTGATGAAATTTCATGAAATGTTAGTAAAGTTGTGTACATTATCATGCATTTCCCAACACAAACAAATCCATTAGATAAAGCAATTGCCATGAATTTTTAGGAAGTGCAATGACCTTACCTCATCCTGTCATTTTAGAGCATTAAAAACAACATGAACAGGACTAAAGTTCACTTCATGTGTAATTCCAAGTTAAAACTTTAAATTGCCTTATATTTACCATTAACACAGACTTTTACATGATGCTATTTAAATTTTGATTTTCCCACCCATCATATTAATGATTCTTTTCAAGTTTTTTTAATAGGTAATAATTTGATAATCAAAACCCAATTCCAAACATGATTTTATAAAAACAAACCATACTTCATACAAATCATACACCTCTCTGATTCACATTTGCTTTCAAATCAAAAACCAACATGCAGTTTTGTACACCAGAAACTTACCATTACAGAGCTAGACAGAGGACAGAAATATGATGCTTTATACACAAGAACCAGGAAATTCCCAAATTGTTCATTTACAGAAATAATGTACTTTCTACTATTGTGTTTCATGCTGTTTTAGGTATGTATGTGTGTATCTGATTACAATGTGTATCTGAAAGGAAATCTAATTCAAAAAGAGTGCTAAATTATGTCTATACATTTGTCTATATTTCATTCAATTTGAAAGTATTTGTATATATCTTTATAGGTCATTTATATGCATGTGTATTCAAAGTTAAATTTTTGTCTACAGTGTACAGAATGTATAGTAAGGGTATGTGAAGACTGTCTGGTACTATAATTGTACAGATGTATGCCTTACCCGATGAACAGGACATGTACACCTTTCCTTGCCAAGAGGTCCTGGACTACTTGCTTCGCCTGAAACAGTCACACCATTTTTAAATCAACTATAAAATGTTTGCAAGACATTAAAGCCATCGCTCTCTTTCATATTAGCAAAGCTGTATAATAAACCTTGGCCCTGAACTCTGAAATGTGCATTATTTTTAAAAGGTTTCCTCAAACTTGAACTTTGCAATAACTTTCAATTGATCAAAATAGGATGGGCTAGATATAGAACTGTTAATCACATTGCCAACACATGTATAAAACCAACAGCTAAAGACTTGCTTTTTGTTTACACAAATAACAATATCAATAAGAGGCCTATTTGACCTGCATCACTTTCCTGAATCTTTCAGAAATCCTGAAAGAACATTTTTGTCAACAATAATCGAATTATATTTGATGATTATCCTCATCATCGCATGAAGTTTTAGACCAAATCTCTAGAGGATTATAAATATTAACTTGTTCCTGTTTGTCCAAGAATGCTTCTGATCAAAATTACTCAATCCAGGATTTAAGATTTAAGGACTTTTAGGATCAGCCAGTAATGCCTCAATCTGACCCTTCTCTTTGAGGAAAAGCACAAATTTTGGTCCCCATTAATATAAAGGATACTCTAGACAAGTCAAAATCCAACCCACTCTCTTCCTCGAGAAGTATTTTTGTAATTGAAATTTATTGAAGCAATAGATAATGGATCATACACCAGGAGTTAACTCACTGGTCTTTTAAGCCAGGGGAGCTAATAATTATCATCACATTTTGTCATATTTTAGATTTAATGTTCACTAGTTTTCACCAACGACATATAGAGGAACTCTCTCTGCTGGTTTGTAGTTTACAATCAATTTACACAACGGCTCTTACACTCTCAAGCAGTAATATGAATAGTTGAATTGCTATGTTTAACTAACATCTGAATTGGTAAACTAAACAGTGAAGTACCAGTATGTCCCTACTTCTATGTGTGTTTATACAGAGCTAACAATACAGCAGTGCTGAGTAAACCTGTGTGTGATGCATGCATACATTACAGGAAATATGATTATACTGATAGTTTACAGCAATTTGTATTAATAGATACACTTAGGGAATAATATCACAAATTTACTACAACCATATACCAACAAAGTGCTACAGGTATTACAAACCCAAATAAAAAGGACCATTACTGATTCTGTATATAACTTGTTAATACTTGTTAGAACTAGAAGCACAGTAACTACAGTACTACAGGCTGAGATTACAGATTTCATTTCTAATGTAGAGGAGGTGTAAAGACTCTCTCACCTGACTCAACTGAATTTGAAACAGTTAGAATTTTGAATCATCACAATATCACACCAATAAGCAGTATTAGTAGTAAAATTCCCTTTTAACATATCATGCAATAAATTTGTGTGGCAGCAGTACATGTATATTACTTTGGTTTACAGATTTTACATCTTATATCTAATATAGCCAAAATAAAATTCTTACTCCAATTCAGAACCCATTACTGGTACACATGTTGTTTTAGAAAACATCTTTTTCATCCATATTTAATTACATTTCAATATTTACAATAAAGGAATGCAACAAAGAGGAATATGAAAAACGTTAAGAATTATTTCTTGTTATCCATTTCACTTTTATAGAAGTTCTTATATCCTTTGGTCTTTCATTGCTATAGATGTTATCATCAATACAGCAGATTTTCACTACTTTACGAAATCAGGAGAGCTGATCATGACTCTCATTGTAACATGTAAAAACAATCAGCCCTGTCACATGGGTAAGTGACAGTAAAAATTACAGATATGACTACCCATTTACGATTGTGAATGGTTGACTGACTATACCTTACCTTGTAAGAAATCTATGAAGCGTTCTAGGTCCGTGATTTGTGTCTTTAGCTGATCAACAAGCTTTTCCTTCACTTTGGCAGGATTCACTATCTGCAAGAACAGAAACAAGAGCAATGACTGATCAGATAGCGCACCAGCAGCAGCAATCATCAAATGTAAAAGTCTAGTATTGGTTTTATATATAGAGAAATAGAAATATGTGTCCTATACATTTGATACAGCACTGAAGGAAATCACCTTTCCCAAAGAAGTATCCAAAATTGAGCTTAATTAGAAAAAATTGAAGTCTGACACATGGATTAAGGTTAAAAAAAAGTATAGAAAACCTAAGCATTAAATTGCTGTGACATCATTTTTAAATCTAAAATAAATATATTTACAAAATATGAAGGGTATGAAGTAAGCAGTTGTCAAGATTCTCTAAAAACCATAAAACAAAAGCCTACCTAAAAATAAGCCTATCCTCAAAATAAGCCTGCAGTTTCATAAATGAATAAACATGTATTTGTTTACTATTAAAGAAATAAGTTGCATATTGTTTTTGACTTTTTCAAATGTGAGCCTTTCAAGAACTTAGTTTTGATGCAAAAGAATAAGTCCAAAATTCCAAAAACATGTAGTTTCAAAGTAAAAATACAAAAAAATCTTTCGCATAACTTTACTTATGTATATACCGAATAAGATTGTTTCTTGGGTTCACTGTGCTGCGAATTATAATGCTAGTAGATTTTGTTGATGAATTTATCCACAAAATCAATTACAAAGGAAAAAATGTATTATTTAAAAAAAGATTCCTCTCATATTCTAGGCAATATAACAAATTAATTATGTACTACATGTGATAGCTTTAAGTAATATACAACAACACAAAATGATACAACAAAAGAAACTTGGTTTTACCTGTCCTACAGCACGGTCTACAACCATTCTCAATTCCTCAGTACTGAAACAGAAAGATAAACATAAAAATATTTAAAAAGGATCACAATCGATCACAGGAGAAGCTGAACCACAGTATTCTGGATCACAAGACAAGCTGGACCACAGTATTCTGGATCACAAGACAAGCTGGACCACAGTATTCTGGATCACAAGACAAGCTGGACCACAGTATTCTGGATCACAAGAGAAGCTGAACCACAGTATTCTGGATCACAAGACAAGCTGGACCACAGTATTCTGGATCACAATCGATCACAGGAGAAGCTGGACCACAGTATTCTGGATCACAATAGATCACAAGAGAAGCTGGACCACAGTATTCTGGATCACAGGAGAAGCTGGACCACAGTATTCTGGATCACAATCGATCACAGGAGAAGCTGGACCACAGGAGAAGCTGAACCACAGTATTCTGGATCACAATAGATCACAGAAGAAGCTGAACCACAGTATTCTGGATCACAATAGATCACAGGAGAAGCTGAACCACAGTATTCTGGATCACAGGAGAAGCTGGACCACAGTATTCTGGATCACAATCGATCACAGGAGAAGCTGGACCACAGTATTCTGGATCACAGGAGAAGCTGGACCACAGTATTCTGGATCACAGGAGAAGCTGGACCACAGTATTCTGGATCACAATCGATCACAGGAGAAGCTGAACCACAGTATTCTGGATCACAATAGATCACAGAAAAAGCTGGACCACAGTATTCTGGATCACAATAGATCACAGGAGAAGCTGGACCACAGTATTCTGGATCACAAGAGAAGCTGGACCACAGTATTCTGGATCACAGGAGAAGCTGGACCACAGTATTCTGGATCACAATCGATCACAGGAGAAGCTGAACCACAGTATTCTGGATCACAATAGATCACAGAAAAAGCTGGACCACAGTATTCTGGATCACAATAGATCACAGGAGAAGCTGGACCACAGTATTCTGGATCACAATAGATCACAGAAGAAGCTGGACCACAGTATTCTGGATCACAAGAGAAGCTGGACCACAGTATTCTGGATCACAAGAGAAGCTGGACCACAGTATTCTGGATCACAAGAGAAGCTGAACCACAGTATTCTGGATCACAAGAGAAGCTGGACCACAGTATTCTGGATCACAATAGATCATAGAGAAAGCTGGACCACAGTATTCTGGATCACAGGAGAAGCTGGACCACAGTATTCTGGATCACAATAGATCATAGAAAAAGCTGGACCACAGTATTCTTGATCACAAGAGAAGCTGGACCACAGTATTCTGGATCACAATAGATCATAGAAAAAGCTGGACCACAGTATTCTGGATCACAATAGATCATAGAAAAAGCTGGACCACAGTATTCTGGATCACAAGAGAAGCTGGACCACAGTATTCTGGATCACAATAGATCATAGAAAAAGCTGGACCACAGTATTCTGGATCACAAGAGAAGCTGGACCACAGTATTCTGGATCACAATAGAAGCTGGACCACAGTATTCTGGATCACAATAGATCATAGAAAAAGCTGGACCACAGTATTCTGGATCACAACAGATCATAGAAAAAGCTGGACCACAGTATTCTGGATCACAAGAGAAGCTGGACCACAGTATTCTGGATCACAATAGATCATAGAAAAAGCTGGACCACAGTATTCTGGATCACAAGAGAAGCTGGACCACAGTATTCTGGATCACAATAGATCATAGAAAAAGCTGGACCACAGTATTCTGGATCACAAGAGAAGCTGGACCACAGTATTCTGGATCACAATAGATCATAGAAAAAGCTGGACCACAGTATTCTGGATCACAATAGATCATAGAAAAAGCTGGACCACAGTATTCTGGATCACAAGAGAAGCTGGACCACAGTATTCTGGATCACAAGAGAAGCTGGACCACAGTATTCTGGATCACAAGAGAAGCTGGACCACAGTATTCTGGATCACAATAGATCATAGAAAAAGCTGGACCACAGTATTCTGGATCACAAGAGAAGCTGGACCACAGTATTCTGGATCACAATAGATCATAGAAAAAGCTGGACCACAGTATTCTGGATCACAAGAGAAGCTGGACCACAGTATTCTGGATCACAAGAGAAGCTGGACCACAGTATTCTGGATCACAAGAGAAGCTGGACCACAGTATTCTGGATCACAAGAGAAGCTGGACCACAGTATTCTGGATCACAATAGATCATAGAAAAAGCTGGACCACAGTATTCTGGATCACAATAGATCATAGAAAAAGCTGGACCACAGTATTCTGGATCACAGGAGAAGCTGGACCACAGTATTCTGGATCACAAGAGAAGCTGGACCACAGTATTCTGGATCACAAGAGAAGCTGGACCACAGTATTCTGGATCACAAGAGAAGCTGGACCACAGTATTCTGGATCACAATAGATCATAGAAAAAGCTGGACCACAGTATTCTGGATCACAAGAGAAGCTGGACCACAGTATTCTGGATCACAAGAGAAGCTGGACCACAGTATTCTGGATCACAATAGATCATAGAAAAAGCTGGACCACAGTATTCTGGATCACAATAGATCATAGAAAAAGCTGGACCACAGTATTCTGGATCACAAGAGAAGCTGGACCACAGTATTCTGGATCATAGAAAAAGCTGGACCACAGTATTCTGGATCACAATAGATCATAGAAAAAGCTGGACCACAGTATTCTGGATCATAGAAAAAGCTGGACACAGTATTCTGGATCACAAGAGAAGCTGGACCACAGTATTCTGGATCACAAGAGAAGCTGGACCACAGTATTCTGGATCATAGAAAAAGCTGGACCACAGTATTCTGGATCATAGAAAAAGCTGGACCACAGTATTCTGGATCACAAGAGAAGCTGGACCACAGTATTCTGGATCATAAGAGAAGCTGGACCACAGTATTCTGGATCATAGAAAAAGCTGGACCACAGTATTCTGGATCACAATAGATCATAGAAAAAGCTAGACCACAGTATTCTGGATCACAAGAGAAGCTGGACCACAGTATTCTGGATCGTAAGAGAAGCTGGACCACAGTATTCTGGATCACAAGAGAAGCTGGACCACAGTATTCTGGATCATAAGAGAAGCTGGACCACAGTATTCTGGATCACAAGAGAAGCTGGACCACAGTATTCTGGATCACAATAGATCATAGAAAAAGCTGGACCACAGTATTCTGGATCACAATAGATCATAGAAAAAGCTGGACCACAGTATTCTGGATCACAAGAGAAGCTGGACCACAGTATTCTGGATCACAATAGATCATAGAAAAAGCTGGACCACAGTATTCTGGATCATAAGAGAAGCTGGACCACAGTATTCTGGATCACAAGAGAAGCTGGACCACAGTATTCTGGATCATAAGAGAAGCTGGACCACAGTATTCTGGATCACAAGAGAAGCTGGACCACAGTATTCTGGATCACAATAGATCACAGGAGAAGCTGAACCACAGTATTCTGGATCACAATAGATCACAGGAGAAGCTGGACCACAGTATTCTGGATCACAATAGATCACAGGAGAAGCTGAACCACAGTATTCTGGATCACAATAGATCACAGGAGAAGCTGGACCACAGTATTCTGGATCACAATAGATCACAGAAGAAGCTAGAACATGTATTCCGACCAAGAAAGACCACAGGAGAAGCTGGACCAAAGTATTCCAGGTATTATCATAATGTTACAACTTTTATTAAAGAGACAAAAGGCTGCTAAAATATTTAAATGTTATGTCTTACCTCAAAAATCTTCATGTCAATGAATAGTTTAACCACAAAATATATGCTTCTTCCAGAGCAACTAAACTAATCCTAACTTTTTATTAATAATGAGGATAGGATGGCAGGCAAAACTCAATTGCATAAAATTTCATTCTGATTTTTTTAACTTATCACTCATTTAAGAATTAACAACTTTCAAAGCTTATGAAGAGCCATTCTTGACATATGACATTAGACAGTCACAGATGTAGTCACAGATTAGAATCTTGACTAGAATGTTTGGTTTTTATATGAGAACATTTTCTTTTTCTTGCAGCTTGTGCACTGCCACTGACCATTACCTAAGTTTTTGATAATTATCAAGATCCAAGTCCAGCTTATTTCTAAGCTCGTCGATCACTACTTTCTGTTTCTCCATCATCTTATTTGTTGGTAATTCTGCTTCACCTGTCTGTAGATTCAAAAATATTGTTTAAGATTAACTATGTACTGTAGTAATGTTTACAAATTTTGAAAATATCATATGCACAAAACTGAATAGTAAATAAAATTCAGACAGATATCAGTTTTATCATAGTCTGAAATGAGACGTTTTGCCGCGGTTTACAGATGATAAAAGGTTGTTTCCTCAAAACAAAATTCCCAAAAGTAAGGTAAAATCAGGAACATCTTCCCAAATTTTTAAGAAAGTACCATTAACTGTATTATCCCCAAGTTATACTGGCACCGATAGATATAAAATTCAAATAGATAAAACATTTACAGGTTAATATAGAAGATTTGATTAAAAAAGTCTAAATATTTTCTAACCTCATACGCATATGTCTCAAGGTCCTCTAATTGGGTTTTTAGCTGTTTGATTAGTTCCTGCTGTTTCTCTCTTTGTTCTGTTATCTTCAATTCATGTTCCCTGTCACTCTGTAAAGCAATAAGACAGCTTTAGAAAACTGTAAAAGTGATAGGGTGAATACATCCTATATAAATCAGTATATCTGAAGCACAACAAAGTACGCCCTACTATTTATTATTCCATCGCTTAATTGACTGAAATTGAGAAACGACTGTATAAGGACATTGCCAAACTACAAGTAAAGCTCTCTAGTATCCTGAAGACATTACAATAATTTGTTAATGCTTCAAAGATGATAAATTAGAACAGTTTGAATTTACTGACTGAAGCTACAACATGGACCTTACATGCAATCACATAGATTTCCACCAAACTAAACCTAACATGATATTCTTTTATGCTATAATTAACAGTTGTATAACTGACAAAGGAACACAATATCAAAAGGAGTTCAAGTAAGATCTCATGATATTACACTTTATCATATACAACATGTGAAAATGTGTACGATAAAACTAAATGTAATTAATCATGGTGAAACTCATTAAGATGAACTTTGCCTGTTTAAGAGTGATCAATATAAACAATTAGCTTTTTTCACAATTGTAAAAAAAATATTTAACTTTGAACTTCACTATGATGAATTTATGATAATGCAATGACAAAACAAGAATATGGACTCAACCATTAAGTTTTCATGAAGGTTTTGAGCTTCCTGTACTGCTGTGCCCCGAACATCTGGTATTCCCTTGAAAGCAAACTGCTCCAACTCCTTCAGAAGAACCTTCAAACAGGAATGTTTAAGTAACAATTTGTGGTAATAAGTAGTTTTCTATCGTATATACACTATTCATGGTCAGTCACTCTAGCTAAATATATAGAAGTTTGACACAAGTTTATCACTAACTTAAGTTTTGAATGACACTTCTCCATAAAAATAAGGATATAACCTTTCATATGTGTAACATGAAGGATGATAATTCAGAAATGCAATCCATAAACAACTTGAGTTAAATCATTATTATATTTGCCTTATAAAATGTTATTACATTGTTGTATATTGTTATGACCTTGTTAACACTGACATGATAATCACATGTATGCTTACCTCCTTGTCATCAGCATCAGCACTGACAATCTGCTTCAGTCGGAACTGTACCTGAGCAAAGTGAGTTGTCAATGCCATGAGGGAAGAATTCAGCTGTTCTTGTTCCTCCTCCAGCTTTTCTAGTTGCTGGGTGTGACTGCATGAAAAGTGTTAATATTATATGTAATTATTACAGTTATGAAATCCAATTCTTTTCTTCATATTTTTACCTATTTCTGTAATGTCATAAATTGAAAAATCTTATATGGTATTCATAAGACTGTTAAGGGTGTTTCATTTGTTGAGTATGTAGAATATTTGTTATAAGAGAGAAAGTTTGGTTGTATTTTATGAATTGGTGCAGAAGAAGGGCATTTGAAGAAAGAAGTTGCAGCCATTTTTGATTCAGAAATATTCAAAAAATAGACAATGGACATCTAGGACCCCAAGGTGATTTATATGCGGAAAATGACTAAGTTCCAAAGCCTGGAAAATCCAGAAAAATGTCCTAAATGAATCCATAATAAAAGGTGCACATCTTCGACATATACATAAACATCCTACAAAGTTTCAAGCTTCTATGTTTAAAAACTCTAGGAGGAGTTGATTCTACAAAACTGGCACCCCTTTTCCCCGCCCGCCCAACATTCACCATACTATAACCCTGATTTGAACTGTGTGCAACCCGGCCAATAATTATACACTGTAAAAACATATCAATGCTGGTCCAAGTGACTGTGAATTTATGTTCTATTACTGAGAATATGTACAAGTCAGCAAATCCAAAAATGAAACTGAATTTTTATAGAGTCAGGGTACCTTAATACTGAACATAAGAAGCAATCCAAGATCTACTTTCACATTCAGTATTATATCTGGTATATATGCTACCATGCATTTCTATTCTGATTGCAAAATGCTGTACATCATATCATACAACGGTCACCGGAAAATTAAAATAGAAAGTCATTTTTACACAAAAAAAATCATTAGATAATGTCTTAAGAAAGTGATTGTTTATTGCATGAAATACAAGTAGCATTCCATTTACCTGTAAACACCTGAGGAAGTTAAAACATCTAGAGTTATTCCCTTTCTGATAACGAAGGATTCTCATTTGTGATGTCAATTCTGCCATTAGACGCAGTGTAAGTAGTAGTGTTTATGAAGACTGTAAATTACACCGACTACCGTAAATATTCGCATATAGTGCGCACTCGTGTATAGTGCGCAGGTACTTTTTGGAGATCAGATTAAAAAAAAAAAATCTACAGAAAAATCAATTGACTTGTCACTGCGACGTAACATTTGATGTGGTCTGATCCATAGATAATTAGGAAACCACAATGAGCGTGACCCTAACACATGTAATTACCTTAAGGTATATTTAATTAAATAACCATGTTCAGGACCATAAAACAATTAAGAGGTAAAATTTGATAACTGAAAAAACACACTGGTTCTGTAATTGTTTTATGTAGAGAAAAAAAATGCATCTGGATACATGCAGTTGATGTCTCATCCAAGCCCCTAGGCATTCATTAATGTGCTAAAAACTTGAGTTAATCAAAAATATAACCTGTACATAAACCCAGTAAGACATGCACATATACAACATCAACCTCCGCATATAGGATAATAAACATTATTAATATATTTACAAAGACAGCTTACGATATCTTTTAAATGCAACTGATAAGTAAACTTTTTAAGATGTAGTTATTATGTTTTTGAGTGTTTTGAAAAATACATATTTAATTATTCTGTTTGAATTTTGAAATAAAAGTTATTGTTCTGATATGAATATAAAAACAGAGTTTTATAATAATACTACACTAATATAAGAATAAGACCAAAGACCATCATGGTGACTGTAAAACCTGTCAGTAAGGTACAACATCCAATCTCTTTGCCTGCTTAGCCTGTGTGAAAATATACAGGTAAATATGACAGTCTGTACCTGGTCCTGACTACAGATATACAGTAGTGTTCATCTGTTCACCCAAGTGTGGCATGAAAGTGTGGTGTTTTTCAATTAACATCTTTGGAAGATAATGATAAAGAGCCCATCCAAATTAATCATTGCCCACAGTTCATCTCAAATCTGTCTGGTTTTCCAAACTTTCTTTATCCTTTTGTATCTATGAAGCTTGTGGTAAAGTTTTCACTAGTTTTATAACACCCTTAGACATCACAGTGAACCATCACTATTGAAATAACATTGATTATAAAATGAGATATGTCAGACTTCCACCCCATTTCCATCAGTCAGCACCAGCTGGCAGGTGTGCAATGGCAGAAATGACATCACAAGTTTTGGATACTAGAGATTCCCAAATGCAAACGGAAAAGGCAATCAAACACATCTGTAGCCGAACACAATCGGCTACAACTGCACCGAGATGTGGAAATTGATTTGAGGGTACTATGTATTCCCAGGTGATATCTATGTCAAAATAGAGAGACCTGCAAAACAATGTTGCCTGTGACCTTTAAGCAAAATGCCCTTGTCTGTTGACACACTATGTACGATAATCTCAATTAAGTCTTTTTCATTTCTGCAACAAATGCCAATAAATGTTATTTCATTACTCTGTAATCCCATTCACTACTTTGAAACAGAAACTATGTATTAGTCCTATGGGTTTATTGCAGAATAAATAAGGTATAATTTCCCTGGTGAGTTCTTTAAATAATTAGTTTACCAATCACAATCAATATCATCTTCATCCTGGTAATTTAACATGGCATGTACAATGTATTATGACATACTCTGCTTCAGCAGCTGCCCCAGGGACAGGACTAGTTGCAGCAGCTCCAAGTGGTGCCCAGCGCTCTGTTGGTCGTTCATCATTCTGTTCATCAAAGCTGTCATAATTGTACTCTACACTGTCATCCAAATCATTTGTTACTGCTGTTTCGTCCATCATCTTGAGTGCTTTAAGATAACAATCACATCTTCAAATTCAAGATTACTGTTAAGACTTCATAATTCAGATAATAAATACAATACAGGCGAACATGTTCTCTCTTAACTAGAACAGAAGTCTCCACTGACGTAGGATCACAAGACCTGGTACATGGAGATACTTCCAAGAAAAAAAAGATCTGTAACATTTGTAACAAGGAGACTGGTACCTAACGCTACTTTAAGATTACTCTGTACTGTATTTAATGCTTTATTACTGTTAACACATCATGCTTGGGCGAGCACAGTTATCCACTGGATCTAAAATAAACAGATGTAGAACGCTGCTTATATTGGGAAAAAGTACAGTTGACAATGTTATTTTTACGGAGATTACCATCTGATCCAATTTATGGCTAATCAAATCCTACCTTAAGACGGTGTGCAAGCCGTTAACTAATATCGCGATCTTTTCAGTTAACTCTTTCACGACCATTAATGATGATCATTTTGCGTGGGTGGCACTCGTCAACATATGCAATTAGTATACTCACCTGTATTGCAAATAAATGTAAAATTTATGTAATTTTCTTTAACAATCCAATGTGCGTGGAGATCAAAATCAGAGGTTTAACCCTCAAATAGACCCAGACCGGCTGGGTTCACATCACTGTTGCAGCATCAGACGAACGTGCGTTTGCCAACAAACCACAACATCCGGGAATTTTCGTAAGTAAAGCCACTATTATCTCGAGCGTCTGGTTTCGTATTTTTATACTTCAGATCCCGTGTCAACAAGATATGAGGAAAATATCTTGAATTGATTAATAACTATTTTTCATCACAATTTTCTTACTCTTTTCTTCGAACAATTTACAAAATGTAATTGATTTTTTTTCTTTTAAAAAGTATCGTGATTACCTCCCTTCTGACGGACAAGGCAGTCATTGCCACTGGTTGGCCTACTTGTCAATACGTCTACTCGCTCAGTATGATACCAGTATTGAGTTTGATTTAACGGCCTTGACGTCCACTATTGCGGCCTTTCAGCGGATGAGATATACGCCAGTATGTCATGTAGTGTTGCTTTTATCACAGAAGTCCGTGCTCTCATATTGGGTTCAAAGATTATCGATGTGATTTTTAAGGATGTTGGTTTGATTCAAATATAACAGTTGAATTAAAAAAAAAAAAAATTAAACTGTTTTTTGAACTTGACACTCTCATTTCCACACACTAAACTCTTTAATATTCTGTAATTTTAAAAGTCCTCAGGATGCAGTATCACTAGATTGTTATGATTCACCTAGGTATTTATTAAACTTTTTTTGTTTATTATTAAAAACAAGACATATGACAGGTATCTGTAATTTGTATCATCAATCTTTATTTGATATTCAGAGGTTGCATGAAATTTGAGATAACTCCTCAAGAAATACGGATAATAATCTTAACTGGGCAATTGTCAAATCCAAGATGGTTGCCTTGTGGTTATTACGTCTTTATAATTAGTTCCAAAGTGAACTGGAAAGAACACCACTAAACATTGAAATTAAATGTAGAATAATATTATCTGTTATACTGAGTTGATAACCTCCAATAAGTAATCAAGTATTATATGTAAGTCAATACATACGTTACAAGATAATGGAGCTATGTCATGAAATGGCTCACAAATGTTAAAGATGTTCTTTTCCAAATTGGCCTGAATTATCTCTGGTACTATTCAATCAACATGTTCCTTTTCTAAAGAGGAAATCAAGACACTGGTGAAAAATGGACTGCTGGATCAATATATAAAGAGATGGTTCGATGAAATTCTTAGCTCCTCTAGAGGGCAGACATGTTCCGTATTTAAGACAAAAATTTGGACATGAAAAATATTTAATCTAAGTTTAATACTGAAGACGGGAAAATTATATGTGAATTTCGTTTTTTAAATATGCATTTACCTGCAGAAACAGAAAGATTGTTAGGTATTCCTCGTAAAGAGAGAACCTGTGCTTTCTGTAATTCCAACACTGGAAATGAATTTCACTATTTATTTAAATTTGCCAAAATTAATCTGTAAAATGTATTCGGAGAGAAATAAACACCAAAATATTATTCCACTTATCCAAAATCAAATTAAAATGCAAGGTTCGTTTGACATATCCAATGTAAAAATCTTTACAAAAACTTGTAGATTTATAGAAAAGCATGATAGATGATTGAGTTAATCTCAGTACCCGGCTGTGATCCTTCTCTATGTAATTATGTAAAAGTGAGTTATCGTTATTTACAGAAGATATCATAATTTTGTACTTATTATCACACGCCATGTATTATGTTAACTATATGTATGTGACCTTTTGTTACACACGTGTGTCAGAGTGACTGAATAAAACCTTGAAACACAATTAGGTTGGGCACAAAGTGGACACACACAATTAGGCTTTGGACAAAGTGGAACCTGCAGATAAAGTTTAGGAATAATTCAACCAATTTGGTCTCAGAAATAGCGATAACAGTCTCTAATGATTAATTGTAAAAATCCAAGATGACTGCATTTCAGCCATTTTTGTTTATCAGTCCCAAAATTGATGCAATACAAGGGACTATACGAGAGCAAAATGTTTATATGGGATTTGAGAAAAATCCAGCAACTACTTTTCAAGAAACAGCGATGATAAACTTCATATTTTCAAAATAAATATTAGACGTATATCTATCACCAAATTTGTTTGTTTCGTTTTGTTTTAAAGTTGTGTTTTATAATCTATTGGGGGCAAACCAAGAGTTGAGAATAATAGAATATTCACTCCATGGATCCCCATGGTGGACCTCGACACGAGGGGAAGGATGATTAAGTTGAGATCCACTTATCTCACCTCTAAGGCAGTGTAAGATTCTATCAAGCCAGTAGCCAGTATTTCTCAAAAATAGTGATATATGTGTGTGTGTTAAATAATGGACGGACGGAAGAACGACTGATCATAGTCTCGTAGTAATTTTAGTGTCATATGATGATGATGGGTCAACGTTTGTTTGTTGTATTTTAACTCAACAAATTTGGACAGGATTTTAAACAATTGGATTAAAAGAAGTTAGGTGGATTCAAAAAAGTATATTCTATAAAGTTTGTGGATAGACACTCTATTCTATCATCTAGGGGTGGGGATATGGCTTGTGAGTCACGAGGCATTTTAATGGCATGTATGTGTATATTTCCTGACTCTTCCTCCGGAAATGAGTAGGATTTTTAAAAATTTACATGTATTTAATTTTGATTTTAATATTACTTTCTTACATCGTATAAATATTTAAGAATCTTGTCATTTGATATCAAATGCTTTATCCTACAACAACTGAGTCAATTAAACCATAAAACTTCTTTCTTTTAAAGTCCAAGTTAAGAAGCTAATTGTAAGATAATGCTATTTCCCCTTACAGTCTCGTTTCTCACAACTCTTAGTGTTAACTACAGTTTGGTCTCTCACAACATTCAGTGTTAACTACAGTTTGGTCTCTCACAACCTTCAGTGTTAACTACAGCTTTGTCTCTCACAACTCTCAGTGTTAACTACAGTCTGGTCTCTCACAACCCTCAGTGTTAACTACAGTCTGGTCTCTCACAACTCTCAGTGTTAACTACAGTTTGGTCTATCACAACCTCAGTGTTAACTACAGTTTGGTCTCTCACAACCTTCAGTGTTAACTACAGCTTTTTCTCTCACAAATCTCAGTGTTAACTACAGTCTGGTCTCCCACAACTCTCAGTGTTAATTACAGCCTGGTCTCTCACAACCCTCAGTGTTAACTACAGTTTGTTATATCACAACCTCAGTGTTAACTACAGTTTGGTCTCTCACAACCCTCAGTGTTAACTACAGTTTGGTCTCTCACAACACTCAGTGTTAACTACAGTTTGGTCTCTCACAACCCTCAGTGTTAACTACAGTTTGGTCTCTCACAACCCTCAGTGTTAACTACAGTTTGGTCTCTCACAACCTCAGTGTTAACTACAGTTTGGTCTCTCACAACCCTCAGTGTTAACTACAGTTTGTTATATTACAACTCTCAGTGTTAACTACAGTTTGGTCTCTCACAACCCCCAGTGTCTCATTCTCCGCTCTGATAATTCACACCGTCCATACTTTCAAGTTACATGTACATTCTTCTTTAAACATGCACATCATTCTATACTGTGTATAAACATTTTCATAATTTAAGGCCTCTCACAACTTCACAAAAACGTTCCAATTGGCTATATTCAATCTAACAACAATGGTTATGTACCATCTTCATACCTTACATATAACATACTTATATCTTACACACCATAAATACATGTACCATACATCTGTCTTACATATAATATACCTTATACATATATATGTTAATTAACATATACTTTCAGATAACGCGCATTATCTGTTAAAATGCAGTTTATACACCAGTGAACGCCAAAAAAAACCTAACTAATCACTTAATGGCCAGAATGTAAACGCGCGAGAAACAGTAGAGACTGTAGGAGAAACAGGTCTAGCCAAGGTAACCCGCGTGGTCGGGCAAGCGATCCCATACCTTTTCATGTCCGTTTGGGGAATCGAACCCCGCACGAAGAGGTGAAAGGCGAGTGCGTAACTGCTGCACTAACTGACCGTCATGGTATTTCTTGCCCTTCTGTGGTTTTCTGTGGCCATTGAACGTTGTCTACAATGTGGTGTTAATCTCACTACCAAATTATCGGAACAGTTGGAGTGTATATGTCTCTGTACCGTCGTTGTTTTTCTGTACCACACTGTTGTAATTCCATCCTAAATCCATGTGCATGGTGGTAATATCGTTTTCTCAATGTAGAAATCCTATTCAGTATTCCTTCGGTAGATCCGCTTTTCACTTGATATTTGATGTTGAAACGTATGACATGTGGATTAGGAACGTAGGCGATATTGGGTAGATAATTAACTAGATTACTTTGAATAATAGTGTGTAGCACTGAAGGGTAACACACGGTAAAGACTCTCTCTTACAGTGTAAACAGCCATACATATATGAATAATAGATGAAGTTTGGATTGTATACTTGGATACGGCGCGCTTCCTGGTCTTCACCTGTTCAGGTGTGAACTGTGCGAAACCTTTGCAGACACTTAAACATGAAGGTGTCAACATTTCCTCCACTTCATGCCACCGCCATGGACAAAAATCTGTCTCTGCAACAGAAAATACTGGTGCGTTTTAACGAGAGACGGAGAGAGGTTGATGCCAACCCCAGGATCCTTAATAAGTACAGCCCTGTTCTGTTTATAGCGGAAGTGACGGGTGTATGGTACTACGGCACGTGTCATGCTGTGCCATTTTTGTATGCAGGTTACGGTGAACAAACAATCAAAGTCATACAGGCCATCGTTTGTTTTCTTACGTTTGAAGTAGTAATCAACTGGTGGTATGTTCATACCGTGGAGTCAAACTATGATCCTCAGCGTCACGGGACAGAACAGGTGCACAAATCTGAGGCGCTGTCACAGGTACGAGAATACTAGTATATCGAAGTGTTTACTAGAAATAATATTTTCCACTTTGAACCACAGTGTACATTAGACCAGATTACAGATAACACGTAGCGGAATTTCATTTGGTTCATATTGCAACAAAACAATGCCGTCCGTTATCACGATGGTACCTACCGGGAATCAAGCTATTGTACACCATGAAACGGTCGGTTAATTAAAAACACGCATTCGAGAAATTATAAATGAATGAAAGTATGAAATCACGGCAACATACATCCACAACCGTATTGAATCATTTCCTATATTCATTGACAGGTAGTGTGTGATACAGACTTCCAAAGTAAGAGGCGGGAAGCTCACAGGACCGGACGTGACTCCACTTCCGGACAATATTGGTCGTGGAAGTATTGCTCTGTCTGCGATCAGCCAAGCCCCCCTCGTTGTCACCACTGTATACTTTGTAACCGATGTTCGCTCAAACGTGACCACCACTGTTTCTTTGCCCGGAACTGTGTTGGCTATCGTAACTTTCGTCATTTCACAGTTATGGTGTTCTGGGCAAATTTAGCATCCGTAATTGGTTTTGCCCATGCAGTTCCGTTCCTGTTAATGGACGTGTTGCCTGAAGACGGATATATAGATTTGCTCCCTTTCGTGGCCTTCATTCGATGGCTCTTTGGGTACTCCAACTTCCGAGTAGGGGTCATTGTTCTAGGATTGTGGTTTCTGGCAATGCTTGTGGTTTTGACGACTTCAATGATGAATGACAGCCGTAAATGGGTTATTCAGGGTAAAACATCATACGAGGTTGACAATAATATTCCCATCAGGGACACCAGAACCGTGGGAGACAAAATTCGAGCCGTTTATGGTCAATATTGGCTATTAAATTTCATGGTGCCGATGCACTGGATGTTTCAACCCGAAATAGATCCTGTTAACTGGCCCACGATAAACAACTGATTTATGTTTTCTCCAATACAAGTCATCTTGAGAATTCCGGTTTTGTAACATTTCTTCAAATATTTGTGTTTCGAGTTATATTGCTCGGCTCTAATACTATGGCAAATTCGGGGTTCCACGTCCTTGCAGTTTCTAATGTCAATCAATACTGAAGTGACTAAAGGACCTCCTACTGTAAATTTACAGGTATTGCTTTAAAAGTGATCAAATGTTGGATGCTGGATCCTTTAGAAAATTTGGGAAATTACAATTTTTGACCCCTTTGTTTTACAACAATGAACTCCCATTAGTATTTATATGTGGTAGGAAAGCGGAAAACCCAGCGAAAAACTAATGCTGTCTCGGTTGTAGCACCGCCCGTCTTGCACTCGACTGCGACATCCCAGATATCGTCGGACTATAATAATTTTAAACGTTTATCGCCAAAGACAAGCTGTGAACACTGATGAAGAAAAAACTTAACTATGTCAATTTTACTCCGTTAAACTTTTGCCCTGAGTGTAAAGTTAGTTAAAGTTTTCAGGTTTTAATATCGCTGATGCCATTAAGCGATAGGAGTAAAGAAAATAGCAAATACAACTAACGAAATTAGCATCAAGCGTTTACCTGCATTCAAAGTTGACAATTTTTTCATACCAATAATCAACGAAAAATGCTAAATTGGTAGACAATGATTAACAGTTAACATTATCTTAGTCTATGACGTTGATCGACAAATAACATCAATAGTCAGCCATTGGTAGTTTTGTTTCTAGATCTTGTCGTTAATGGTTGATGTTTCATGTTTATATGGTGACAGATGTTACTCCGCCTTGTACATATTATTTATTTATTTCTAAATTCATCATGGTAATGATTGGTAGCCATGATAGCTTGGTCAGGTTGGCATTGTCGTTCCGGACTGGTTTGTGTTTCATGTTCATAAATAAAAAATAACATGTATATTGAACAGGTGTGACGTCTTGTTCTACACTAAGGTGTGCCTGAGTGTAATAAAGAATATTAATCTTATCTTGAATCTTTAAACCATATATCGGCTTGTGTTGTGGTGATCATGTCACCTCCAGTTTCTTTCCTCCACATAGTGTTCAGTAGTAAGACAGCCACCCCAACTAAAGACCCGGTGAAGATGTGGAGTACACATCTTCATCAAACATTATTTTAATCTCGATATTCAATCCAGTTGATGTAAAAGTATCAAATACTTACAGAGGTTTATTGGTCAACGTGATAGTAATATAATTATTATGAAATTCACGTATATTTTAAAAAAGACGAAAGTTGTAATATTTAACGAAGATGTGTTCTCCATATCCTGCTTCATTTGTCATCATTTTATGAGCGTCCCGCATAAAATGCTCGATATGACGGATCCCGTGCGCGCGTGAAATTATTGAAAATGATAACGAAAACAATCTAAAAAAAAACTTGAAACCTACCACGAAGCGACAGTATTTATATTCTAGTGATTACCGTGACCCACTTTCAAGGTCACTGGTGTCAAATTGGAAAATTTTCACCAGCAAGTACTTCAGATCAAAACTTTAACTAAAATTTCACCAAGACACTGTAAACTTTAGGCCGACTTTCTATAACTCATGCATATGAATATGGCAAACCAGCGAATTCCATGTTTTCACAAAGGCTGCTTGTTTTCATTTTTGTGCTGGAGATCGATACACAAGTTTATATATATATTACATTATGGTTTGATACGCGAGAAAATCGAAGGGCATACCTGTGGACAAGTCATGTTCCAATCATAACACCATTGTTATTTGAAATACCTACTATCGCTTGCAGATAAATACAATACACAATTTGTCCAGCTTGATTTGTAATGTTTGTTTTATACTTGGCCGTAGCCTACACAAATATATACTCACGAGGGGTCGGGTGACGCATTGGTAACCCACACACCTTAAACCTAGACGTCCCACAGCAGGACGTATTACGTTTGGTAATAATGGTTAGGAAAATGCGGAACGACACCTTTACACTTCACGGACAACAAACATTTGAATGTGTATAAATCCCTTAAGAACTGGACACGGTCGAGCAATTTCTTAATCCGATTAAACCGTTATATACAACAATCGAGAGGCGTTTAGCGTTGACCTTCTCTTTTCATTGAAATACTATGTAGATGTCTTGACACGACATTCTCTTTCAACGCTGGGTCTAATTATAACAAAAGGTTACGTGTGTAGTGGCTAACTTGTCCATGCGACGCTAAATCACTTATAAGGCAGGCTGCGACTGGTCAGTCTGTCAAGGACAGTCTGTTATTTTTCGTCACACAGAGCATTCCTACCCTGACCGAAATGAATATCAGGGAATCGTACACAGCCGACATAGTTCGTGACACTGCCAGGGACAAAAGTCTTAGTCTCAAACAGAAGCTAACTTTGCATTTAGAGGAGCGAAAGAAGGAACCAGCAGCGTCTCCACGAAACCTCAATAAATATCTTCCATTTGTGTTCATAGCAGAAGTGACGATTGTCTGGTACTATGGCACGTGTCAGGCAATTCCTCTCTTGTATGCGGATTTCGGACAAGAAGTTACACTAATTATCCAGTCTGTTTGCACTTTTATGGCCTTTCAGGTGGTGTTGAACTGGTGGTGCGTTTTCAGTGTAAGTTCAGCATATGATCCCCAGCGGCACGGGACTTACTTTGAATTTCTCGATCGACAAGCCAAGACCACTTCACAGGTACGTATCCTAGCAATGTTGATAAAAAGTTTTCTTAGTTCAAATAATTCTGATCTATTGTTAGAAATTTATTTTATTGTTCAATATGTTAGAACATTTGCTAATATTTTCTTATTTTACTTTTTATTACAAAGAATACAACGCCATTCGATTCACAGAACACAGTAAACGGAGCAGAGGGAACTACAATCGGATCTACTTCCGGTAGTCCAGCACGTGTGCCGTACTGGTCCTGGCGGTACTGCACGCTATGTGATCAGCCACGTCCCCCTCGTTGTCACCACTGTAAACTTTGTAACACGTGCTCGCTAAAACGAGATCACCACTGCTATTTCTCGAGAAACTGTATCGGATACCGGAACTTGCGTCATTATACCGTTATGATGTTCTGGAGCTGGGTTTCCAGCGTGGTGAGTTTTGTGCATGCCCTTCCCTTCATTTTCATGGAAGTTTTACCCAGTGCCGGTCACGTGGATATGCTTCCTTTAGTTGCCTTCTTCCGATGGATATTCGGATACGCACACTTCCGGGTTGGCATTGTCATCCTTGGAACATGGATGTTGGCGTTGTTTGTCATTTTCACTACATTCATGTTGTTCGAAATTGTTCGTTGTATAATAAGGGGGAAAACATCCTTTGAGATAGACAATAAGATTAAAATCAGTGACACCCGTAGTGTAAGCGGAAAACTGAATGCTGCTTTTGGAGACTTTTGGCTACTGAATTTTCTTTTGCCCATGCACTGGAGATTTCATCCTGAAGAGGACCCCGTCTTTTGGCCAACCATAAACCAATGAGAATGCCAATAATTTTGTCAAAATAAAAATTAAAAATTGCAAATTTAACAGATTTTCAATATTTATTGATAATTAAGTTTTAGCAGGTCGATTTTCATAATATCATATACACTGTACTGACAAAACACAATTCTGTGACAATATAATATATATTCATTTCTTTGAATCATATCATTGAAATATTTCAATCATCATAATATGAAAAGTTTTACTTGACCTTTAGAACAAAGAAACTATGCGAAATCAGCCGTCTGATGTGAACTTTCCACAAATACCCTCTCGCGGTTTTCATTGTTTACAAATTCGTTTGCAACATCAACTGAATTAATAGATGCAGTCGCCTCTTTGTGGACATGGAGTAGCATGCAGTTGTTGATGTGCAACACACGAATTTCGAAGTCGCACCTGTTATACTGACGTTGAAGGTGGATGTCGCTCCTATTTATCCGTCTATGATAAGTCCGTTTTTTCCTCGTGACATCTGCTCTATACCAATAAAATCACTCAATTTATGCCCTTATTTTTTTATGAAATGTACCAGGGATGCAGAGAGTGATAATGAACGTAACATCTGGAGTATAACGGATGTGTATACGTCAAACAAAATGTCGAATGAGCCTGAATCGCTTACATCTATTGCAGTTTACACAGGAAAGACTTCTCGGTTCGTTAATTCAATTTATTATGCAAACTTGAAATCAGCACCATAACCAAGGATTGCTTTTAAAAAAGAAGTTTAAAGTTCTTTGCATATTTGACCCATGTAACTGGGAAATAAACCAATGTTATTGATTTTAACACACTTTGTAACCTTTCATCCTAGCATATTACAGGCCCAATACCAGTTCCCACAGCTTTTTGGTTTTAAGAAAGAAATCCGTATTTGACCTTTGTGATCTTAAAATTGGGTCAAAGGCATCCATTTGAATATGCTATTGTCCTAATATCGGGAATCTGAGACCGTTTGTTTACTGAGAAAAATTATTTTTAAATATACACAAACATTTCGGTATGATCAGCTACTAAAACGCAACACTGACGCTCTAATTCATGGCCCGGCCAACGCTTGTAGATCGATCTAGCGCTAAAGCTTTGTAGATTTAATTATGATGTTTGTTTATATGGTGAATTGAGGCGTACAATTTCAAAACGATTAAAACCTATCGTGTTTTTTTTTCCCATAAAAAAGCATCATATGAAATCATAAAGAGCAGAATATTTCCCAAGAAAAAATATCTCATGGTTATAACGCTTACCAAGTTTAAACAAAAATTGGTTGAAAACAGAGAGATCTCCGGAAAGATGAAAATACTAAGATAAAGGCACAATTAATCTTTTAAAAAATGTTAAATTAAAGTGTCATTCAGGAAAACCCAACTTCACAGTTCTAAAGCCTGGAAAATTTGACAAAGATCTCTAGACAAGATTAATATGAAAACAAAGGGCAGTCACTCTATTAAACACCGTTGAACCGAATAACCACTCATGAAACACAATTTCGTGTCGATGGTGATCAAGTCTACGGAGTTTGAAAGAAATTGTCGTGAACTTTTAAAGATCTTCAGACAAATATTTTACGGCGGACGGATGAACTACGCTTAACATGAGGTCATGTAGCGTTTTTTGACGGATGAATAGAAAAGGCACAATAAGGATACTAGACCGATATGTAAAGTGCTTTATAAAATCAGTAGAACGCGTTTCGAGTTTAAGCCAGCAAAATACCCATGGGCATAGCTTGGGACAGAAATATAAGCATTCGCTTGTGATTTGCTTTGAGATCAGAAAGTCCTACAGGTTTTACAGTTCCAGTTTGATATAGCAATTTATGATGGTAATCTAAAGAATTTTTCAGTTAAGGTCAACTAAAAAGAAAATTTTATGATGCGCTCATGAAATGGAAACAAATATATTTTTTATCGTATTCATCCATTTCTGTTAAAGTCATATCCACTATATCTCTTGCCTCCATTGTTACATCACGATGTAAAATGCGAATGTGACGCCATTTTGATTACCTAAAGTGATGTCACAATAAGCTAAAATGTGATATGCAAAAAACATGGCAGATATGCAAAAAAAACCATGACAGGTATATTCCACAAGGCAATCATGTGATAAAATTGAATATGACGTCACTTGGCTCCAAATATCGCTTAGAGGCACTGTACATGTACGATAATCATACATCTATATAATATCAGGACAAGACCGCAACAAATCGATCTTTAACATTGTGGGTCATAGATTCTATTTCTTGTCCATAATTTTTGGAATCTTAACAAAACATATCGACTATTTTCATTCCTGAATAATTCTTTGATTCGCTTTCATTACCTCCCTTTCCGTTATACTAAGTACGTCATTAAGACATCTATATGACATTATTTCAGTTACGTCATCTGGTGCTAATATTGCATTAAGGTAAGATCGAATACCCTTGTCTCTAAACTGTATTGTTTGCCGTAGTTTTTTCTACTCTCCACTAGTCTTTGCTTCGAAAATACAACCAACACAGTCCAGCAGCGAAGAGTTGTGACTAAGGAAGGTAATCCAAACTACCTGGTCTTATGCACAGGAAAGAAAAATCACGTACTGAGACGACACGTTCCAGCCACAACCATCTCCAGCTTGGACTTTTTGGTGTATGAGTCCCGAGTCATGAGAAAATATTTTTGACACAAAAGCTTGAAAAATTCCTGTAATTTAGGAGATAAACACTTCTAATATAGCCAGTGCCGATGGATCAAATTCCAAGATAGGTAAGCTTCGACAAGTGATCGTTGAGAATATTTTGTAATAATTCTGAATCACCGAGTTCTTAGTTGTTGCAGAGACGTATATGGTTGTTGATAGAAATAAAAGAACAAGAAATGACCGATTCAGCAACTTTAATGACATGTATACAATAATGTAAAATGCAGTCAGTATGTTTCGGCAACAATTTATACTGAAAACGACAATGTAAACATCAAGTTGCTGTTATTTGATCAAACCTAAAACCAAAAACCTTCCAGGACAAAATAACTCAATTTATAGCATGGAACAATGATAATGCGACATATACTAACATCACGAAAGGATGTGATATTGTAATTACAGGTGACGACGAAGGATCCATAACACAAGGCAAATTACTTTATATACTTCAGGCTTCAAGTTGTGCCACAGAACAAGATTTTGCATAATTAAGTTGGTAAATATCTATTTCATTGGTATGATCTTGTACTAAGGAACATCTCATTAAAAGCGCAAGCATGTATCAACCTCGGCCACCGGTGAATTAACAAAGCCGAAGCTTAGTATGGCATCCACATATGACAAACGCAGCCAATGGTCGATAACTGATGTGACCTGTTACCCAAGTCTGGACAGGTTCCCTCCCCTTTCCTCATTTTTGTACACTGATGCACCATTCGGCTTATATCAAAGTTTGAAAACTCAACTATCATGGACCTGTCTGTTCAAAACATATTCAGTTACACTACAATTGCCACAAAACCATTAATGGCGCATACCCCAGTGCATTTTTTTAAGAATTGATTCCCTGTACATGTATGTGTAAGTCTAAGATAATTCATTTTATGTTATAGACTTTTTTACACTGTCAATGGACCCATGTTACAGAATATCTGCAATCCACTAAATACTGATCTATCAACAGGTGAACTGTACTTAGGCATCTAGTTTGATACTCCATTTCGGCTTCATAATACTAATTCAAACCTCTGTAAGGGAGTATGTCAGAAAGAACTGGATGTGACATCACTTCATACCAAATACACAAGTATAGTGACTAGAGGGCCAGATTTTTTGCTGTATAGTGTTCAAGCCAGGCGAACTTAACAGAATACCACTAAATTTAACCACCAACAAAATACCAAGGTCACATCAGTGTATGAGGAGAGGGAAACTTGCCGGGCCAGACAACTTTACCAGTTTTTTTTAATAACAAAAATGAAGATAGATGGTTATTGTATGTCTGTTCCATATGTTACATGTTCTCAGTAAAATATGTTGCTATATACATAACGAATCAACACTACTGCAGGTAAAACAGATACGGTTAAATACTTGTTAGTAAAAGTGAGCACTTCAACCAATCAGGAGTATAATATCAATATTTACATTATCTATTAGTATGCTGTTTGTACCTTGTCTGTTCGTTTTCAAACTATACAAAAATCTCTAAATGAATTAGGTTACAGATGCAATCTTCTACATGTGTTTTTATGGCCATTATGCTGTAAAGCAGGTGGATTGAAAGTTTTACCAAGGCACACCAGGAATCTGATTGTCAAACAGGAGGGTAGCAGGTGACTGTAATAACACTATGCTAAATAAAAGGTACTTTTGGTCACAATCATTGAACATTACACACACACACAAAAAAAGAATCAGTATAGCTTATCCATGCATTAGGTATACAAGTAAAAGTTGTCGAGGTTGCAACAAGGCAGGATAAACTGATTTATATTTTAGGTTATTCGATGTGTACAACAATACCTGTGTAGCCGATTTTAAACTTTTCAATACTCTATACACAAATATTTCAACACAAATCTCTTCAGATTTATTTTGTACCTAAATTTTCAAACACCTGTGATATTCTCTTCACAAGAAGAAATATATTACATAGCAATGTGCACATTTGACACATTCTGTCAATTTATCAAGGATGTGAGGTAGCTCTCTATGTGCAGTATAGCCTATTATGCAAGCTGTATATTCAAGTCATTATGATTCTATAGCAATCACAATCAAAGTAGACAACAAGCATCATCAGGAAATATTTCGTGTTTAATCACTGCCTCAATATCTGTCTTAGTGATGAGTTTCATCCAAACAAAGAAAGCTACAGGTTCTGCCCCAAGTTATTCAAATGAAACTTTATGCTCCCTGTATGTACTTAGCATAGAGTAGATTGTAGGACTAGCTAGTCCGATGTATAAAAGATTGGGTATCATGCTACAAAGTCTAGTTAAGGCTATTTCAGTGAGACTGAACTATAAATGTGTCTATCAGCGGCCATACCATCAGTTGAGAAGTCTTCATATGACCCTGGCTCTTGTGATGGCAAAGAACTCCAAACAAATCCTGAATTTGGGCACCCTCAGATAGAACTTTCCCACAAGCAGAATGTTCCCATCTTAAGAGAGAACTTACCCACCCTCAATGCAAAACTTTCTTTCCAACATACATGAATCTACACTACTTATTTATACTTTGTACTTAAAACAAATAAATAAAACGGTTACGAGACACATTACTGTGACTGAAGGCTATGAATGTTTGACTTCTTCCATATTTACATTTGAATTAGACTTGACTATCTACATGTATAAAGTAATAATTGTAACAAAATGATACACAAATAAAATCAGAGCAACTTCTATTAAATTATCAAAGAAAGTTGGCTGTTCATTTAAAACATAAAACATTTGAGCAAAATGTGTTAATCTCTCTAAAGTTTATACTCCTTGACCAATCCTATATCATAAACTAGTCTGTTAATCTCAAGAGAGCTACCCTTTCAATCCTACGCTATTACACTGTAACTACTTATCCATTTCTCACTTAAGTCACTTTCAAAATGCAACAGCAGGTTATTATGAAGAAGTGAAAAAGCTATTGATTCTGAAGCTTTTTGATGCTACTGTGAGGAACGAGTTACTTACAGATATGGTTGTGTGATTATCAATACGAAAATTACCTTCAAAAAGAATTTTACAAGATTCATGATGAAAATTAGTGATTTGATTTTTTTGTTAGAAGTACTTAACTTGTTGAGCATTACGTCGGCTATATAAAGCAAACAGAGATTCTAACAAGTAATCCAACAGTGTTCAACACATTCTCGAGATAAACCTTTGATCAAGTTGTCAAATTTCACCAGAAATACAAACAAAAACCATACAAGATATGACTTAATATTGACCTAAATAAAATGCAGTCACTCAACATCACAAACACACAAATTTTTACACTAATGCTGTACCAACTAAACTTTGAAAGTCAACAATTCAATTAAGACAATTTTAGGTTTTCAATGAAATATCAGATGGTTGATTGACTAACAAAACTTGATGACATTTTACATACATTATATCAAATGACTGTATTAGTCACATTATCAATAAACGTACAGCACTACACGGCAATAATCACACTTAAATCTTACATTATCAACATTATACTGCATAACAAATGTTATCAAAATAACAATATCAGAAATAATTCAACACCAATTCAGAATTGCAACAAAATTGATACAAACTGTTGCAATAACACATAGTAAAACAGAAATGTGTTTTTATAGCAAATGAAATCTTCATAATCGAATGTAATGAAAGTGTTATCACATATCTTCCTATACAATGGTCCTAATCAATGGTATATTTTGCAACCATTGTGTGGAAGTGGATGCGACACTTCCGGTGAACACATATTGAGGCATGAAGGCACAGGATATTGACCTTCTGTCCTGATTGTTTACTGAAAGACATCGTGTATCAAGTCCAGGTTTGCATTGCTGATGCTGTCACTATTAAACATTAAACATTAAAAACATCCTTTTTTTATGCATGAAATATTTCACATTTTCATGTACTATAAATTTTCTAGAGACAATCCTCTAACGTAATAGGATTATAATTAACAATACAGACTTGCTACAGCAGAAGCCAGAGTATATACATCACAGCTTTTCACATCAGTTTTCTCAAGATATTCTTTAATAGATACACAGCAAATATAATCAGGACGATGAAATTGCAATAAAAGGATATCACAAAAACAGATTAATGATGCTGCAGATTATTTCAATGGAGATTCCCAACAAAAGCAATTAATTCAGACAATGTTTTGCTATAAAATATGTAAAAGTTTGTGACTACATACAGTCAGCACACAAAAAAAGCGTGAGATAATGCTGAAAAACAATACAATGTGTAACAAAGTGATAAGCAAACAGTCATTACACTAATATGTATACATTCACATGAGATTCAATGCATTCAAGTACATACATTTCATATACATATGCAGGGAGTAAAGGCATGAAACAGCAGTGTGTGCATCATGTGTGATGTAAAAATTATCTTCTAGGTGAGAGCCAGATATTTCCACTGTTTGATCAAAAATTTAAAATCAAAATATTACTCAAAGTATAAATAGTTAACAAGGTAAATTGTCATATTGTAAACAATGACCTGAGACATGTTATATCAACTATGATCAATTTTGAAATGTAAACAGATCTTTCTATAACCCATAAACTGGAATACTAGGTTACTAAATCAAAACTACAAAACATTCTCTTTATTATGACTTGCAGCATGAACTGCATGTTCATATCCAGTAACAAAATAATAGTTTCTTTGTTTTAAAATATTTTTTTAAAAATTATTATCTGCATAAACAACAAGGACTTATGATAGGTAGTTTTCGATTATATTTGCACATAACAAAAAAGTTTTAAAATTAAAGTAAATGATCAGCACTTAAAAATTATCAGCACTAGATAACAAAAGTGATTAGATATTTAAAGTCAATTATAAATATCCATGAGCACTGAATTCAATAACAAGACTTGTTTGTAACAAAATGTAGAATTAACAAGGTAAAAAGTTAAATGTTACTCTGGGGGAAGATCATATAGATAAATCCTACGGCAACATTTCAGAAATCTGACAGAGGAATCCAACATCACCACAATGATATGAAATATTTCCTAGGTCTAGCATTAAGGAGTATTTATGATAAATATCATATTTCCCAAAATCTACAGTAGCTCTTAACTTATTAAGCAAATCTAATAAGCATCCTGAGAAATATTACAAAATCATAGTTCACAATTTTCTGTAAACAAAATACTGTTGTAACATAACCTGCTTTAATGATAATATTTGCTTTAAGAAATCAGAAAATTCCCATTTGTTTCATAGAGAAATATTTCAGATAAGATAAACTGAATTTATGAAAACAAGCAAAAATGGGAACAGCATCTCTGCTTTCATCATTATAAGTGATTACGAACAGAATGTAACTACCCATGTAATAAGAAATTACCTTTCTTTCTGTAAACACTGCTAAAAAGCAGTTCATGAAGGTCAACACGAAGCTTAGATCAATGAAAAAAAATAAACGTAACACCTAGTTAAATATTTTTTGCATGGAATCTTTTGGATTATCATTTTTACAATTTTTTTATGCAAATCTGGTGATGAAAACACTCCAAATATTCAACCACATATTTACTGCAATATAAATGACTTCAATCTTGCATCAAGCTATCCTCAAATCAAAATAATGATGTCATAAAATGATAACTTTGTGTGTTTACATACTTTCATAACACTGCAAAAAAGGATTTTTTAAAATCTTTTTTAACACAATTTTTGGTTGAAACATTTATCACTGAACATTAACTCATATATATCATATGAGATTGTAATCCTCTCAAGACATTCAGATCAGGGATTTACACCTAATAACTGCCTGACCCAACACTTTACAGACACAGATACACACAATTAACCAGGGAAATTAAAATGGGGGCATAGTAAAAGTAAACTGGTAAAATGAGAGGGGGGGGGGTTGAAATATATTAAAACATTGACTGATGTAATAATACATTTCATACCTGATCACCATCACAAATACACTGAATGAAGTATTCCAACATCTGAATACAAATCCACTATTGTTACAAGTATACCAAAGTTTGATTTGAAACCATCAAACTTTTTCATCTACACCAATGACATCACAACACAGGAAACAAATTGTGAAATCCATAAAGTGATTTCCTGGTTTTGAGGACAGATTTCTTCCCACCAATATGGAAGCAGACGAGTCTAGTGTATCAAGGATAAATGGATATCAATGATTCTATCTGACTCTGTTGGTACATGTATCTTTTTTATTGAAATATACAATTTTATATAGCCTGAATCAGTGGCAACATTATTCACTTCGCAACCAGATGTTCTACGATATCAGTTGACCTATGACCTTTCAACAAATCCCAAAAACTATAAACTGTTGTACTTTTGACCTTACCATGAGATGACATTGGGATGATAAAAATACAGTCAGTTTCTTTTTTTACCTTATTTTGTTTTGCTTTCTAAACTTTCTGACTTTTGACATTCTTAAGGCCCATGCTAACAGGGCTCCACTGTTCTACCTGAGCATAAGTCTATGTTGCTCACACCATAGAACTGTACAAGACAACTGGGTGGGCAGCCATTCCTCAAATGTTCTCTCTCAGGGCCAGTTCATGCTTTGTGCTAACAACACCAAAGTGTATTACACTCAAGCCAGTTCGTGCTAACACTTATTGGATATGTTCTGGATTGGGGAGAATTTGTATCATTATTATAATTTGGCCATGAATGCCTGCTCTTATTCTCCTTGCGCTCCAAGTAAATCTTTCTTTTGTTCATATTTTGTCCTTGTTTCAATGAATTTGAATAAAGATTCTGTTAACATGTCCGTATTTTCTTTGCTGTTTTTGTAAAAACACAAAACATTTGAGTGACCCAGACAGAAGTATCACCCTGATCTGAATATCTTGATCCTGCAACTTTATATTTTTGTTTCAAATGGATTTGATGTGGAAAAATTGGGGTTTGATATAGTATTATTGTCACCAACAATCTCGTCTTCTTCCAATTTAAATGTAGGTACTTTATGGGCTGGTCCCCATTCCTTTGATGGTTTAAGTAAAAATCGGATTTTCTGAAAATAAAGTTTAAAACACCTGTGAACATAATTTTCTATATGAATGTGTTTACAATAAGAATATATGTTAAATAAACAGGTAACACCAGTTGAAATCCAACACGCGCGCGCGCGCGCGCGCGCGCGCGCGCGCGCGCGCGCGCGCGCGCGCGCGCGCGCGCGCGCGCGCGCGCGCGCGCGCGCGCGCGCGCGCGCGCGCGCGCGCGCGCGCGGGCGCGCGCGCGCGCGCGCGCGCGCGCGCGCGCGCGCGCGCGCGCGCGCGCGCGCGCGCGCGCGCGCGCGCGCGCGCGCGCGCGCGCGCGCGCGCGCGCGCGCGCGCGCGCGCGCGCGCGCGCGCGCGCGCGCGCGCGCGCGCGCGCGCGCGCGCGCGCGCGCGCGCGCGCGCGCGCGCGCGCGCGCGCGCGCGCGCGCGCGCGCGCGCGCGCGCGCGCGCGCGCGCGCGCGCGCGCGCGCGCGCGCGCGCGCGCGCGCGCGCGCGGCGCGCGCGCGCGCGCGCGCGCGCGCGCGCGCGCGCGCGCGCGCGCGCGCGCGCGCGCGCGCGCGCGCGCGCGCGCGCGCGCGCGCGCGCGCGCGCGCGCGCGCGCGCGCGCGCGCGCGCGCGCGCGCGCGCGCGCGCGCGCGCGCGCGGGCGCGCGCGCGCGCGCGCGCGCGCGCGCGCGCGCGCGCGCGCGCGCGCGCGCGCGCGCGCGCGCGCGCGCGCGCGCGCGCGCGCGCGCGCGCGCGCGCGCGCGCGCGCGCGCGCGCGCGCGCGCGCGCGCGCGCGCGCGCGCGCGCGCGCGCGCGCGCGCGCGCGCGCGCGCGCGCGCGCGCGCGCGCGCGCGCGCGCGCGCGCGCGCGCGCGCGCGCGCGCGCGCGCGCGCATACCATTTTTACTGTTACATTGATTGGTCCAGTATACCTATTTCAGACACAAATCTAGGATTGCAGGTTTGTGGGGGTCCTAATTTTTGTAAACTGAAAATAAATTTTTGTATAGTGTCTGACACATCCTTTATTGTCCAGTTTTTTTTTGTTATGTTTACATTTTTTGTATATTACACTTATACATTCTTTAATTGTTCTAGCTTCATGTTTGACAAAAAATCACGGATTGCATTATAAAAAAAAACCGAAAATATAAAGTACAATAATGTTAAATGTTGGTAAATAAACCAATAGAAGCCATGTGTACCTGACAACGTGAATACAGTCAACTTTTCAAGGTCTGATTTTGCAAATACTAATAAAATTTATGTCCTTGATTGAGATATGGGTATGTGATTTTAAGTGTCACATTACACCTCCAAAATAATGGCCACTTGTCAAGTTTTAGAGCCCCCTCCTGCCATATTCCTATGTATTTATTATCCCCCAAAAAACTAACTGATCCAACAACTACCTCCTTATATGCATTTTGCAGTGTCTGTATAAAAATGTCACAAAAAACAACTGAATACAACTCTTACCTCTCCGAAGCTGAGTTCTCTTGGGGCAACATGCCGGAGTTGGTAAAACATCAAGGAGAAAATAAAAATCATAGGTATAAGAGACAGAAGCCATCCTACACCATTGGCCCATGCTGGGTACTCATACTTGTCAAACTTCAACGGTCTGTATTGAATCAGGTTGAAAGCCAATACACCCTGGAATACAGAAAACAGAAAATATTATCTACACTACAACTGTAGGATAAAATAAAGGTGTGATTATGGTCACTATTAACGATTCAAATCACAATTTTCTTCCTTTCTCTCTTTTTGTTTTTGTATTGTTCTGTATGCTGAGGTTACCATTAACAACAATCAAATCACAAGGTGTTTTTTTCACTATTTTCTTAAATCATTTTATAGGCTATCTATTTTTGTTGCTGTGTTTGTTGTTTAGTAGCACAATGATCATCTCATGATGGTGGGCTAATAAAACCAAACCCAACTCTTAGATATCTAGCTTGTGATCGCTGTTATAACTGTCATAAAACTACAACATCATCGAAAGGTATTGCCATATAATATTTCTCTCCTTTCCTGAAAAAGTTAGCACTTGATATCCACAGGTTTTACCAACAACAAGGATGTCAAGGTATGATTACAAGTTCAAAGTTGGAGCTGGAATGTTTTGAGATAGTTTGTGATTAAAACTTCGAACTTGAAGCTAGAATGTTTTGAGATAGTTTGTGACTAAAACTGCTAACTTGAAGCTAGAATGTTTTGAGATAGTTTGTGACTAAAACTGCTAACTTGAAGCTGGAATGTTTTGAGATAGTTATGATTAAAACTCCTAACTTGAAGCTGAAACGTTTTGAGATGGTTATGATTAAAACTCCAAACTTGAAGCTGGAACGTTTTGAGATGGTTATGATTAAAACTCCAAACTTGAAGCTGGAACGTTTTGAGATGGTTATGATTAAAACTCCAAACTTGAAGCTGGAACGTTTTGAGATGGTTATTTAATCTTACTGGATTAATCTTCATATAAATTTTTTACGTATAAGAACTAAGAGCAAACAGAATGATTAAATATTTCTGAAATGGATCATCGCTGATATAAAGCAGTACTTACCAGAAGTGTAAGTGGTGAGAGGTACTGCCAGAAGACTTTAAAGAAGGTATGAAATGATCTCTGCTGTCGACCAATCATAAGTTCTATATCCTCAATAAATCTCTCCCCGCCTGCAATTACATTTCATATCGTGCTATTGAAGATGTAAAAATTGACTAAGGATCTTTGCAAACACACTTGTAAAGTTTCTTATATCTTTTAAATCCTCCATGATACTTCATTCAAGTAAATAGAATTACCAGTATATTTTATTTGCAATATAATTTAATGGTGGTATACAAAAAACATATTTCATGATATATGGTGATGATTACATTGAACTTGCACACAGACTAAAACTTCACAGACATCTATATGCAACAGTTTTCTCCTTTACACGTTAACAAAGTACTTACCATATATCCATCTAACATTCTCCTTTACATGTCAACAAAGTACTTACCATATATCCATCCAACAATGATACATTCCAGTGCCGCCATCACAAAAACCATCCAACTAGAAACATATGCATCCATATATCCACTTCTCCTTTACATGTTAACAAAGTAACCATATATCCACCCTGAAAAATTCATAAACATAACATGCTAAATTCATATGCATCCATTAACTGCTAAAAATTCATAAACATTCGTTTAAAAAATAAACATTTCTTTTTGCTTGAAATAAAAAAAAGGAAAGAAAAAAAAAGGGAAAACATCTGTACTAAATTCCAAGGATGTCTTGTCAGTCTATAAAATATTTCAGACATGTGGTTGAATTCTTGAAGGAACACTTACACTTGTGGTAACAGACAATCCACACAGGAAGCCCAGGATGGAGACTACAAGCACCACCCAAGTCTTCTTACTCCTCAACTGTGGATAGGTGTCCTGAACAGCTGTTAGCACAGTTTCCAGCAAAGCAAACTACAACACAATGCATTCCACTCCAATAAGTCACAATCTACTAGAAACTTGTGTTTGTAAAACATCTGACAAACATGCATGAAGTAAAAGATTATATATATCCTCCTAGAACTTAAAATTCTTGCACTGCAAGTGAAAACCTGAGAACAGAATCATATACACATACCGAAAATTTCAATTACTTTTTACCTTACAAATTTACCTTCTGTTGTTTAAATTATAGCAAATGATACTTTTGAACAAAGATGGGATGATGAAAAAATAATTCCATTTCACAACAAAACCTAAAATGAACATTTCTGTGGTCAAAATAATCATGAAACTACATATAAATATCTTAATTTGAAATAACTGTTTAATATAACTTAAATTAATTGCAGATGTGATTGGCTTTCTATCCAGACCATCTTATTCCATGATACTATCCTGCAAGTCACCATAGCTTATTTACCAGATCTAAAAGAATGTTTCTTAAATACTGAGTGTACAATCTGTTCAAAAGCATGGACAGGTAAAGAAACTAAGTGTTAGGGATTAAAATCCACAGAGAATATACATTACCTCACTTCCCATTCCAAGTGTGATCATCATCACAAAGAAAAGGATAGACCAAAGAGGAGAAATTGGTAACCTCGTCACCACATCTGGGTAGACCACAAATGCCAAACCAGCACCTTTAAAGTGATTAAATAACAGATAACATCAGACCCCAAATCAACATATAAGAAATCTACATCACATCTAACTAGTCATTTAAATCTCATCTCCAAATAACTTGTTTTCCACTGGTATTGCAGCTCTAATATTTGTTATACCAACCAAAAAGATTTCAGTAATGCAAGTATTTCCGAGTTTGAGATGCAATGAAACATATCTTGATCAGAGCATAATTATTATACACGTAGTATTTTATAAGATATTTTGTATAAATCATAAGGATCAATTGACTTTTGGCATTATCTACTGCTATTTAGCTCAGGTGTCAGATATGGAAACTAACATCAGATTCTGTAATCTGATGTTCTCACTTATATCAGATGATTTATTGTCAAAATTCCAATTATCAGATAATCTTTCATTAATAGACATATTCATCATTATCAGACCAACATGCTAAACTGTTTACCTTCGTCTACCACTTTATCAACGGGCATGTTCAGCTCCTGGGCAAGGTAGCCAATGATTGAGAATATGACAAATCCTGCGAAAATGCTTGTACAAATATTTCCCACAGAAACTATCATGGCATCTCTAAATGAAAAAGAAGAAAAAAGGAAGTTTTAGTCCACAATTAATAATGACCAAACTCAAAAATCAAAACCACTTAAATTGTTTTTGTTAAACTAGGAAAATCAAACATTCAAACATCAGAACATTTTTATCCCCTTTGTTTAATTTTGAATTACAATTGTTAATTCTGAACTCTAGTTTTATTTCATAAAGTTTGATTTTCCATATTTTTGAGTTGTACAATCAAAGCTTCAGTTGTATACACTCACTTGAAACAATTATTGTGGAATTTGTTGTAACTGGACAGCGTGATGAGGCCTCCCCAAGCAGGACTGAGGGCAAAGAAAATCTGGGCTGCTGCATCTGACCACACCTACAAAAAGGCAAAACTTAGAATCACACAATTTCTTCACTTGTATTTAATCATTTGAGTTGCTGTTTTAATTTCTGCTGTTTGCATGAAAAACATTTCAAGGCTCCAATCCAGCTAATTTAATAGAGCTAATTCAAATTGGGAGATTTTAAATATCAGCTTTCACATTTCCCTTCATAAAATGAACCTGCAGTGACTTTTTTAAGAGGTGTGAATGGAATATATTGATAATGGTGTTAAAATCACAAAATTGTCCTTCAATGCTAAACAAGGCGGCAATCATATGTGCCCCTGAAATTTTTCAGGAAAAAATGTTACCTAACCCTGTACAATCTGAGTGAACTTAATACAACAAATCTTTACCCACAAAGTCTCAAAATGGATTGGAGCTTTCAGTTTATTTCCGTGAACTTTGTCATCTAAAATGTAAAACTTGGGTATAAAACTTGGGATGTGTGAAATTATCCCTTCTTGATAAATAACGAGGTTTACACTTAACATGAGTTGATAACAACATGAATGTACATATTTATTTAGCAACATAACCAACATTCTTCAGTTGAAGCTGTGCTGCATATTTGTGACTCATAATCACAGAAGTTGTTAATTTCAATAAATGTAGTGGAACTAGACAAGAGGGCTGATTGAGTTCTTACCTTTGCATCACCAAGCTTGTCAAATCTTGGTGTTAGGTAATACTCAATTCCTTCAATAGATCCAGGAAGGGTGATTCCACGGAAAAACAGGATACACAACACAAGGTAAGGAAACAAAGCTGTGAAATAAACAACCTGAAACACCAACCATTGAACAATGACAAAACAATTCTTTTTGATCTCATAACAAAATATCAAAAAGTTTGCCAATACAAACTCACAGACACTGATCACTACAAATCTAATTTTCTTCATGCAAATGTCATAAAAAACAGTATACTTCATACCAATATGTCAATGATAAAAATCCAATTGCCTATTTCATTAATCATTTTGGTGTAACTAAAGTTCTTTTTTGCTATTTCCATAATTTGATTCTGACCTCTAGTAAATGTCTATTTTTGACAAATGAGAACCCACCTTTCCTGTAGATTTAACTCCCTTGCTGAGAGCAGCAAATGTCAAGGTCCATGCCGCAAGGAGACACAAGGCTATCTTCCACTGAATGTTACCCATGTCTTCAATACCAGAGGACATATTAAGGATTCCTTTTCTACAAGGTAAAACACAAAGTTCAAACCATATTAAAAATGGACACCATCAAATTGGACCATTTTGACAGTCAAAAGGAAAAATTCTTCATAGCTTTATAATTAATTCAATTAAATGAATTGTGTAAAACAAAATTGAGCAAAACATTGTTCTTTAATTTTGAGTCAGAATTGCAATAAGGTGACATTTTTCTATTCAGTTGTTAATAGTACTCAAATATTGGCTGAAAGAAATTCCATGTACAAACAATAATATATGGACCATTGAGATAAGGAAAATGATTTCTCTACCATTTTCTGGGATATATTCAATTTTTTTTTCAAAATCATCTTTTATTTGTCCATTTTAAACAAACAAACAAACAAACGAAAAAAAAAAGCTTGTTCAAAGTATTAGTCAGATGCAAATAATACATATTCTTTAGCAGATACAAAAAAATACTTGTTTTGGGCCATTACCTGTGTACTTTGAGGGTGAGGGAACTAAAGAGTTGTCAAAACAGATATCTGACATGTGCAAACAAATCTTACTCAAAGAAATCTTGAGCTGGGGCATGTCTGGTCTGATTTTTGGCAAACTCAGCGATGTTGTGGAGTTCAGCCATGGAGGAGTTGTAACATTGTCTGTGGTAGTAGATACTTCCATTGACTGCGTGGCAGGCATCCGCTTCTTTGTGTGCATAACAATCTACAACATCCAAATCACCCAAATTACACCGCTTGTTTCCTCATAAAACATATAACTTACAAGTGTTCAACAGAGATGAAGTCCTTTACATATATTGTCATTATGGGAAAGAGATATATTAGTTTATAGGAAAGACGACTTCACGTTATTTGTATATACAGAGTGATAGGAAAGAGATATAATAGTTTATAGGAAAGACGACTTCATGTTAATGGTATATACAGAGTGATGGTAAAGAGATGTATTAGTTTATAGGAAAGACGACTTCACGTTATTGGTATATACAGAGTGATGGGAAAGAGATATATTAGTTTATAGGAAAGACGACTTCATGTTATTGGTAAATACAGAGGTATATACAGATGGTAAAGAGATGTATTAGTTTATAGGAAAGACGACTTCATGTTATTGGTATATACAGAGTGATGGTAAAGAGATGTATTAGTTTATAGGAAAGACGACTTCATGTTAATGGTATATACAGCGTGATGGGAAAGAGATGTATTAGTTTATAGGAAAGATGACTTCATGTTAATGGTATATACAGAGTGATAGGAAAGAGATGTATTAGTTTAAAGGAAAGACGACTTCATGTTAATGGTATATACAGAGTGATAGGAAAGAGATGTATTAGTTTATAGGAAAGACGACTTCATGTTATTGGTAAATACAGAGTGATGGTAAAGAGATGTATTAGTTTATAGGAAAGACGACTTCATGTTAATGGTATATACAGAGTGATGGGAAAGAGATATATTAGTTTATAGGAAAGACGACTTCACGTTATTTGTATATACAGAGTGATAGGAAAGAGATATAATAGTTTACAGGAAAGACGACTTCATGTTAATGGTATATACAGTGAAAATGTATACTGATCATCATCTACATTCATATACATGCAAATTATAAAGACAACTACCTAATTATGTAAAAATTTAGTGACATGGCTTCCATTTACAGTGGAACACATTAATTATGATATCAGGTATCACGATATCCCACTTATTAAATTTTTCCATGTACCAACAGTCAGTACCAATTATATGAATAAGACTCTTTATATGACTAAACAATAAGAACAAGAAACAAATTGGCGAGTGAACACTAAAAGCTATATTAAAATGACGTTATATTGACACAAGATTTTTACTGACGAGTCCAACTCATACTAAATAAGTAGAAGTTGCACAGGTCACCTTAATAGCCCTGGTGTGTGGAAATTTCCATTTAGTCAAGTAGTTGAGTTTCTGTCTAGAGACCGATAGGTTGCTAGTTAAAATCCCCACAGGGGTAGAGTCTTTTTATTACTCCTTCCTATTACAAGTGTGTATAACATATATGCACCAATACCTGAGAATATAAACATATTCCCTTTTAAATCCAAAGCCAAGATTACAATAGAAGAAGATTGCTACAATTTCACTGAAAAAAGATAGCACCAGACCAGTAAAGTATCGTTCTGTGAAAAGTGTAAGAAAATTTTCAATAAATATTCTTTATTAATCACCGTTACACTTTTCAACTCTGAAAAGTTTTTCATTCATCTATTTGATACAATGTGTAAGAAACTAGCTCTTGAAAATAAAACAAGTTTTGTAACAGTCAGAAAATGGTTACTCTTTCAATAATGATCATCTTAGTGACACTTACGTTTAAGAAAAAAATGCTTTAACCATTATAAACAAGTCATAGCCTTTGTGACATAATCCAGTGTGTAGGAAACTTTGAAAGGATGGACAATAGGAGGCAACTCAAACAATAGAACACAGGCCTACTATTTTAAGCAGACAAGAGGAATCATAATATGTGCATAAAATAGTTCAGAGATCTCACAGATGAATTATGTTATTTCATACAATATATACATTTTCTTTTCATTTGTTGATCTTATGAACATGTGTTTTCAGATACAACAGCATCAACTACTTCACAAAATATTTTCAAAACACACTTTATCCCTTTCGCAGAGGTGGATGTGCATTATCCGGTTATTTTTCGTCCAGATATTGTGAATTAACAGTTGATGTGTATAGATTCTCATTGCATCTCTTAACCTACATTAATTTTAATTGTTGCTAAACACAATTACCCATTAATAATACCTTGTTTTTCTATTCTAATTTCATTTAGTAATAGGATTGACCAGTTTGATAGACTCACTTTATGTTCACTCATCCTAAATAGCAAGCTCAGTCATTTTGATATCTCATTTCATAATATTTCAACCTGGAAAATAATATGAAGGTTTCAGTGTATTTGTACTTACGTTCTGTAGCCCATTCTCCACACTTTTCCCATGGCAGCTCCGACGTGAAGGAAAGAAAGAGATAGAGGATACACCAGCCTATGATGACTGTGTAGTAAATTGCCACCAATGCTGATACTGTGATCATGCCATATCCCAACCCTAAAACACAGGTACAAAAGATTGTTTTGAATAATTTACATTCAAAAATGTTTCTTTTATAATAATTTACACTCAACTATGGTTGTTTCATATTAATTTATTTTCAAAAATGATTTTATTATAATTTACATTCAAAAATGAATGTTTTTTTATAATTCACATTCAAAAATAGTTGTTTGAAATAATTTACCCTCAAAAACCTTTGTTTTATAATTTACTTTCAAAAATGATTTTATAATACACTCAAAATGACTGTTTTATAATAATTTACACTTAAAAATGATTTCTTTATTATAATTTACACAAAAATTGTTTTAATAAAATTTACAATCAGAAGTTATTTTTTTATAATAATTTACACTCAAACTAAATGTGTGACAGCTGTGAAGGCCACAATCCCATGCAGATCAGAATCATTATCTCATAAATTTATAGAAATTTTCAAATGTAACCTTGTCCATAGAGCATCTTAATATGATAAGGTGTAGAACATGATGTTATGATACTAAATATAAACTTGATCTATTGAGAGATTCTCAAAGTTTGACATTTATTCAGAATGGGACAAAACAGGATGACTGACAGACATGGATATGATATATGCCTTCTTCATCCAAAAAAAGTAATGATATACCTAGATCTGCAATTCCATAGAACTAGAAATGCTGTTATCTACCGTCAGAATGATGTTTTGTATAGAAATTTGTATTTTGATGATTCATAGTCTACTACCTTCAGTTAAACTGCGAACGTACCATGAAAGAGTGGACAAAAACGGTCATAGATAACTGCTGGTCCAAGTGCTGCAAACTGCCCGAACGCCAGCTCCAAGAACATCAGCGGTATACCAAGCAACAATAACATGAGGATGAAAGGAAACAGAAATGCCCCTGGAATTAAATACAGGTTACAGTGATAATTATCACAACAGTGACATGGTACATAACTTGGCCAAGTGAAAGAAGAAAACATCAATCCACGAAGAGCTAAGGAATTGTCAAATTTCTTCTGCAAAGCTGATAATGCCGTGTTGCTTTGTTGTTCTTTTTATCATTTCATTTTACAACCACTAAATAACAAACAGGAACTTGGTGGTTGGAGTTTTATGAAATATTGTTAAATCTTTTTATTTTTTGACAAATTGAAGAAATTTACTATTGCTGTGACAAGGGATTCAGCGCCTCCCAGCTCAAGCAGTTTAAACAAACTTATATTTGCACACACAAAAAACAATGTTTGTCTTATCTACTAATGGTTATTGTTCTAGTTCAATAGATTCCATCTGCCTTGAGAAGCCCATAAAACAGCTGTGACTTGCTATAATAAACAAACACTGGCTTACGTCATAGGCATGATAACAAAATGGTAAACATAATGCTAATGTTGGATAATACATATTAAATGCCTCGACTTGTGGCCTAGTACATTCCAGTACCAGTATATAGACGTCACTAACAGGTGATTATTCTGGACTGAAATAAATGTTTTCAAAACATTTATAAATGCATGAAAAACCATTGATCATATTCCTTTCTGTCTTTTCTTTGATATTTGATGATTATCATGCCTATTTCCATTAATATTTCAATTACAAATATTTAAATGCCTATTGAGAACTCATAGTTGTAAGTGTCACAATCCTATATAGCAGGAGTGTAAAACACTATATTTCATCATATCAGTCCAAAATTTCATGAGGATCTAATCATTGTATGTGTAAAGAAATTAACTTCCTACCATTTTAAGTCCTTTAAAATCAATTTAAAGATTTTGTTCCAGTAATTGTGGGGGTTTGTCAGAAGATAAGACAGTTAATTGCTTACAACCTGAATTTTTCTGGTGTTATCAGAAGACAGACAACATAAAATACATTGGGTTTCTTTCATTAAAATGTATGTTGGTTAAATGTTCAGCTAAGTGTCTGTCAGTTATTGTATCCGGGCTGTAAATTACTTTGTGACATATCAGTCGACAAGTCCCTCCTCTAAGATATAAAAGGCTAGTTGTTATGACTAGGTCTCATGGAAAATCTCTTGTTATAATCCATTCATCCGTAGCAAGAATCTGATACAGTAAGGATAGCTAATATAGGCATGTGAGCTAAATCTGATAAATTCCAGTCCTGAAAAGTCACACAATTTTTTTATATAATTTTTCTGGGTCATTTTACAATAAATGCATAATGTCACTTATCCAACAATAAATATGTATCTAGATCTATATGGTATACACAATGATTTCAACTACAACCCAGACTAAGCATGAGTCACATGTGGGTAACTTACTTCTTATCTTCTAAGTCTAAAAGTAGAAGTTCTTACATCATCATATTACAGTTCATAACAAAAATTAAGGTCTGTCAATTCAAATTTTATTTTCCCAATTTGTAAACCACAAATTGTCTAAAAATTGGGTCTTTTAAATTTTCTATTATGTATTCAGACATGCTTGTATGAAAGTATAAGCATGTTTAAACATGATTCACTAATACAAAACATCCCAATATATTTTGACTTTACAATATTGTGTAATAAATGTATACACCAGCTGCAAGGCTATCATATGGTTAATAAAACATTTTTTGTCAGACCATGTCTATATTTGAAAGTGTAGATGTCACAAATGATAAATAATATCAGGTATAAACTAATGACATATTCATTACATGTATTATTATCAGCAAATAATTACTTCATTCAATAAATATTGATGATGAGTGATGGAAGATTCTTATCCTAACCTATAATAATAAATACTGTCATACTTGATATTTTCACAGGTCAAAGTTTTCACAATTTTTCATTTAAATGAGAGAATTCTAGCAAATTAGGGTTTTTCATTTTGCAATCTGGCTAGTCAAGTTTCAATTTTTTTCACAACTTTTATAGATTTAATACCAATTTAACAAACCTATTATGGTAAACTTTCCAATTACAAAATTTAAAAAAGATGCAAGCCCTGAAAATCATATCAAACAAGGTTAAATATATGCTTGTCACAATATCAGCAAGCTTGTGTGACAGCTGGAAACTGCAACAGCTGCACAAATTCTACTTTCCTAACTTACAAACAACCATAATGTACAGCACATTAATATCCATATAACCTCTGTTCATTAATATAATTGATGCAGACACTCCTATACTTGTCTTTTAAATCTATTCTAAAGAGCTTTTTTTCAGTCTTTTCAAAGAAAGTTCTACAAGATATCTCAAAAACAAATCCCACACAATATGGAACCTGGTCCATGAATTTTGTCTTCAGGCCTTCAGGTTCCTTACCAGTGTTTATTTTACAAAGTTAGGCCTCTGATGCTATGATTGAAGTTCTGTAGAAGTAGTAACAGAGCTAGTGTCTTAAATTCTGAATCTATCAGCCCAATCTAATACCAAATTAAGATCTCATTAGCTAAATCTAAGTTTTATTTCTGTATTTTTTTGTTGTATGTGTGTATTTTTACCACATATCAACAATTTCCTTCTACATGTAGAGAGGGTGTACGACTACAAACTTGGACATTCTGCCAACAAAACACAACTAACTCCACTAATGGTAGGTCTGAACAGAGGTCGCATGTTGAAGTTTTAAGCAGCCATTGACACAATGGAAGAAAAGGTAGCTATGCATGTTTATAAAGTAAACAGTGCTAAGTGTATGACGCAATAGGAGAGTAAACACATGTAATAGTTAATTACTGAAATGTTATACAGGTGTGATCACAAGAGAACAGAACCACGGTTGACTTTCCTAGACAAATTAAGATCTAATCTGCCAAATCTGTTTATTTCAGTTCATTTCACCACTCCTAACATGTTTTCTCCACAAGAGATTATGCACAACATTAACTCTAAACATTGAAATTCTATCTACATAATACAGCAAACAATTTATTCAAACCTAGTGGAAACAAAATATTAAAAGATAAATTGAAAATTGAAATTTTAAATGTCAATGATGATAGCAAACCTCAATTACTATAGGATAGACATTGCTAGTGTGATATAGTTACTAAGGAAGGACACTTTTAAAGAGATCAAATGTTCAAGTTTTAAGCATTCATTGACACACTGAAAGAATTGTTGGCTGTGTGCCTACAAAGTAAAAAGAAGTGTATGACGCAATAGCAGTATATACACATGTAGTAGTTACTTCCAAGAGAAGATAAGCATAGCCGACTCTTTGATACCAAATTAAGATCAAATGGCCAAATCATCAATTTTGAATGTTTTAATATTCCCAAACTGTTTCGCTCCAGAAGAGAAGAGATTGTGTACAACCCCTAGTGTAGACTTTGAAATTATGTCTACATAATACAGCCCATGCTCTTTCAAATCTGGACAAAACAAGAGGCCCATAGACCTTTTATCACTCACCTGGTATAGTTTACTGAAATGGATTAATTTAAACTAAAGGGAAAGTGTTCAAACATATGTAACTATTTCCCCTATAAGGCCCAACCCCTCCTCCCAAAAAAGACAACATCCTGGTATTCCTACAGAAGAAGGATTTTAAATAATTTGCTTCCCCCACTCCTATTGGGCTCTGCTCCTCCTGCCTCAGGGGGCCAAAATCAACTTTTTATACAAAACTGATCCCTTTTCACAAAAGGATGCTTCACCCCAAATTTGAGCGAAATCAAAACATTCCTACAAGAGTAGTTGGATTTTAAAGAATATTCTTTATTTCCTCTATTAAGCCCTGCTCTAACAATCCTCGAGGGATGAGCCCTACTGTTAAATTTGGACAATATTCAGCAATTCCTGAAGAACAAGTGAGATTTTAATGAAATTGATAGATTTTTCCTTTTCAACCCTCCGCCCTAGATGGCAAAATCGCCATTTATATACTATACAGATTTCCCTTCACCCAAGCATGCTGGAGACCAAATTTGGACCAGATAGATTTTAAAGAAATTGATAGATTTTCCATATTGGACCCCTTCTCTCAGGCCCCAAAGGTTTCAGATCCATTGTTTATTATAAAGCTTTTTCTCTTCCCCAAAAGATACTTTAAGACCAAATTTAGTTTAAATTTGCTTAGTCTTACAGGACTAGTAGCAATTTATAGGAAGAGTTGGCAGGCACCAGATTACTGATGGATGAACAGATGACAGACACTAGATGCTGCAGTATACCTATAGCCTACTCAGGGCCAAGTGAGCTAAAATTGCATGAAATAATTTATGACAGTTAAGCTTACCTCCGCCATTACTATAAGCTAGGTAGGGAAATCTCCAGACATTGCCAAGTCCAACAGAGTAACCAAGGAGAGACATAAGGAAATCAAAACGGCCAGACCAATTTCCGCGATCTTTAATCTCTTGTATCTCGCCCACCAAGTCATCATCAAGAGGGGTGAGAACAGCTGTGCTGGACACATCCTGGACTAGTTGCTCTGGGTCAGTTGTATTCTAAGTAAACATGAAATGTTACCCATCCTAATTATCAACGGTGTACACAATGTTGTTTTAACAGCTGAACAAAATATATATAATCAAATGTTTTTTGAAGATACCATTATGGAATAAGGATGACTCGTCTCATACCCACTTCAAATGTTTACAGCACTAAGCTGTACTTGCAATTTTTAACAGACTATTAAAATTGTATCTAAATAGTTAAAACCACAGAAATGGTAGTCTACATTGATAAACTTGGATATAAATTTAATCATCTGAAAATTTCTATTAACATGTGACATATCTACTGAAAATATGAAAATATTTCTAAAGAGTTTTGATTCTTCTAAATCACAGGTGGTCTTTTACAGGAACATGTATAAAGTGAACTTCTATGACTTAAAGTGTGATATCTTTTTTTAAACCAAGCTTACTGTAAAAGAAAAAATAAATCAACACCTTTAAGCTGTCAGAGGTAGACGGATGAATGTGTAATGTATGACCTTGACTTAATCCTAGACGTGTAATGATTACTAAAGCAGGTGACAGGTTGATTCAAACCCTGTTCTAAATTAAAGTTCTTAATAGATTTAGTGGCAAAACTCCAAACTAATTGAAATCCAGATTATATGGTTTAAAACTTTAAAAACACTATGACATGTTTTCTTATTCTTTATTCAAAAGATTTCATAAGTCACTTACACTAAAAATGAGTTTTCTTTGTAGTCTACCATATTTGCATACAAGTGCTTCCTTGTGAAATTTTAAAAAACATTTTAGATTACAGCAGATAATGATGTGAAATTCAACCCAACAAATCTCAAGCATATATCCTATTACACATTCTGCGGCTCAAAATAAGGATGAAAACTGAAAATGTGATATCTTCAGTGAATGAAAACAAGAAGTTTTGATATCTTCACTGATTTTTTACCACTCGGATCGCACGCAATACATGCAATGACAATATGATTTTCTTCCAGAATGCATTGTGGTACAATAAAGGAACAACTTTGATGATGAAATATGTAGCCCAATAAAATGGGAAGAAACTTACTGTACTACTAAATTGCTACTGGCCAATCTGAACTTTCTTATTAGAGAGCAACACATTTTGTACCAACTTCTCTTAAAATCTGTTTGAAGATTGTCTTATGTGTGAAACTACAGTATATTATCTAAATTATGATAATGAAGAAAGGAAACAGAGTGGCAACTTGTATAAATGGAAAGCCTGAAAGTGTAATAAATACACTGTTCCTTATTTCTTGATGTAATTATATTTCATTTGGTATGGTTGAAACTTCCACATTTTTCTTTGTGATAAACACACCCACTAGAAGAAATGAAACTGTTCTTTCTTATATTTATGTTGAACTTACAATGAACATGACATTTGTCCTATAGGTAAAATACATGACAATTTATTGTATTATAGTAAACTTTCAAGTTTCTGTAGGTAATTGATAATGACATTGTCATACAACTCCAATTTGTCTATTTATGACATGCTATTGCATCAGAAAAACCTGTCTGTATTGAACATTCTTCATTTTCACTTCCGTGTTAATGTTCATCCAGGCCACTTCCTGCTAAATCATCCAACATACCATTGTTACAAATACACCTCAATCCTGACCAGTTTAAAAAGGGAGGTAATTCTGATTTGTGCAACAGACATATATCAACACTTACCACACTCTCCATGTTGTCTGGATACTCTTCCTTGTACCAAGCTACTCCCCACTTCTTATTGGCCGACGGCTCAGAGTCACTGTGGTATTTTTCAGTCCCTCTCTGAAAAAACATGATACACTTTGTTTTCACAAGCCATACAGGACATAAAAATGGTACCAGATAAGTACAAATTCATTAACTGGTCAGTGGCCAGTCCTCCATGATATTGTACAGTATCACTTTACACAAGACAATTCAGACATCCTTCTCCAGTAATGTACATATGTAGCTAGAGCATTGGGTTACTGATAGACTTCAGTAGATAAATCAGCTGCCAATTTGTCAATTCAAATTAATAATCAAAGTAAAATCACAACTGAAATGATTTTTACCACTTCCTTTACATGCTTCAATCCTTGTGAATTCTCTAAATTTTTATTTGCCCTCTGCTATCCAATTACCCTAGCACTTTGCAGTCCCTGTAATAAAGGTTATATAATTGCAACTGGTCCCAGTGTATTGTGACATCACAATGCCTTTGTATTCCGCATTCTGATTGTTCCAGCGATTAAATTAATTCAATCCAGCAACAACAAGTGTAAGCAGTCACTTGATAACAATACTGATAAAATGCAACCAGAAGTGACTCTTTCTCGAAGCAGAAATTTATTTAATTCCTATAATACTCCATTAGCATTGTCCTTACAACATAGAGCTACCAACTTATTATGAAAATTTGCAGCATGTACCAATATATTATATAGAAAATCACATTGATATCTGGCAAGGTCAGTTTTGAAGTTGCTGAATCAAATTCTTTTTAAGCTTCTCTCATGTTTTTCAATTCATTCTCTGTATGATAGCATATTTCACTAGATGGAGAATATAATTTTAAGCATATACAGCAATACTACCTTGTTATGTGTTTTGATTCATACAGTTTGAAGGTTATCTAAAGCGACTATAGTGTTAAAAACACGAGAAAACGATATAAAACATTCTATTCTCCAATAGTATGTAACAAAGATAAGACTTTCTGCTAATTACTAAATTAAAAGTCACTGCAACCATTTTTATTGATATCTAAAAAATAAAGAATGTAAACATTGTGGTCTTGATCTAATTCATACATTACTGCTCGTAACCCTGATGCTGCGCATGCGTATAAGTCTAGAAAGTAGCAATATGGCGGACGCAAATACTAATAAAAAACGACGAGCACCTTACAGAAGTGCCAGAAAAGGTAAGAGGAAGGAGTCATATCATAAAAGAGGTCAGGCAAGAATTTATATCACACAGGAGATTGATAGATGGCGAAAGATGAAGGAGGATCTTGGACTGCTGCTTGACTGGTTAGCTTAATGTTAGCCCTATAATTATAACGTAACTGCCTGTCATTGATTATAATCCAATATCCAGTGTTTGACATGTGAATATGTTATGAACAACACTACTAAAAGTGTTATTTGATAAATGTTGAATGAAAATAGTTGGGTCATTCGCTTGAATTTACTATCGACATGTGTTTGTTGTCGACTGCAAGGTGGGGCCCAATTGGGGGTATTCGTTCTATGTGTAAAAATATGACGGAACTGGTGTTATTGTAAGAAAAACAACCGTGGTGATAAACATAGCCTCCATAATAAACAATGCAATATCTATTAATGTGTACGGACAAAGTATCATTTCCTGTGCATTTCTGCACAATGAGTTTTTTTCTTTTCTGATTGTAATTACCCCTTTGTGGCCCCACTAGTTTAGCGCCCACCATTGACATAGATAATTCTAGCACGACAAAGTCAAAACAAAATGAATTACTAAGATTGATTGTTAAAATCATATATTTTAACACTGTAAAATCATATACTGCAAACAAAAATTAGCAGAAAGGTGCAAAAGGAAGTGTCATACATAAGACATGTGCGTTTGTTTACCTCGTAATCCATTTTTTCTTTGCGGCGGAAGTAAATGACTTCGTAACGTGACAAGCTATGTGACCCACTTGGCTTTCTTCGTAATAAACAGAGCGTGAACATGTTTATAAACAATAGTCAAGATAAACAATGTTCCGACGCCGAAAATATGTACAAAACCATTTATTTATTTATTATGGATATATTTCATCATTCATAAGCCGAATTCCCGCTTTCAGTTACTGGCCCTGGTATGCAGGCAATGTCTAATTTCACTTGATTTAACATGATAATTTTAAACATTTTTCCATCAGTAAAATTTGTCAGAAACTGTATAACAACAACAACAAACTTTACACATTTCTAGTTGTGGAATTAACTAAATAAAATTTAAACAAAAATGTTCAAGTTGTCTCACCTTTAGCATACCCTCTGAAGGCAAAAAACTCTGAATTTCATAGCAAATTATTTAAGCTGGCACTTACACATCACTAGTATTTAAACACCTAACTTTCTAAGTTTCCATATTAATTCTACAGTAAGCACCTATCCCTTTACTCTTAACTACAGTAGGAATGTGGGCTCTTCAACTGAAATTATGCATGGACGTATTTTTTTCAAAAACTGCTTTCTAAAAAGGAACATTTGAGTGATTCAGTTTGAATCACACAATATAATTTGTTTTCAGGTTTCCTAGACATTTCGTATTTTCATAAATGAATGAACACCAACTCCATGCATATCCAAATTTACCTTTCCTAACTTAAATGTATGTAACCTAAGTAAAGCAAGTGGTACTTGTATTACATTTGTAGCAATAATCCATAATATATGATTTTGATTACCAGAATTTAACATATCTTTTTAATCTATGCTTCCTAACCGGCTAAAACTGGGTCAGTGTGTGTAAAAGACTGCCCTTACTGACATTCTAAATATAAAAGATTTTTTAACTAGTTGAGTATTAGCCAAAAAGTCACAGTTGCCAAATCTTACAGCTCAGGTAAATTTACATTGTTTTGACTTTTAGACTACATCTATAAATGCAAGGTTGTGTGGTTGTAATTGACTGATAGATATTGTGATCTGGAAAAAAAAAAGTTATAATTGTGAAACATGCAAAGATACTAAGAAAAGGTAGAGACCAACTTTAAATATTCTGGTATTCAAGAGATATTTTAATCATCAGGTATGCATTTGATTCCACAAACAAATTTATTTTGATGCAATCAAATTTCAGAGCAATATCAATTTTAAACAGCTAAGTGCAAGGATGAATTCACACATTTGCAATAAATTTGTCAAGTCAACAATGTTATTGGTCCAATCCTAAACACTAACACTAAAATCAGAATGCTTCAAATTTTCAGAAATTACCTGCCACATCTACAAGAACAGTCTAAAGACAGTTGTGGATTAAATAAAATATAACAATAGGATCCCCATTGAAAGAATAAGCCTAAAACAGTGTAGAAATGGTATAGCTAGGTCACTGGCTCGGTGTCTGTTACAGATCACCAGATGTACATGTATTTGAACACATTCTATTTTAGCAATACCTGCCTTTCAAGTCAAATCTGACCCAGACCAGTTTTATGGCTAAATGTACGTGTAGTTTTTTGTAAGCCCTACCGTTTTTTTTATATTTTCGACAAACATATGTTACTGTAATTCCAGATTCTAAATGAAATATTATATTTCAGAATTTCAAATTATTTGTAACAGCTAACAAGGAATATCCTCCCATATTCAATATAACAATACAATGTATATTTAAGGCAGGTCATTTACAGAGCGTGAATTTAAAAAAAAAGAAGGAACTTGTGTGTGATCTTTTTATTTTCATGCTTTCAACTTTTATCAAACTATCCCACCACATTTGAAATCCCCTCACTTTTTCTGCAGAGAACTGAAATGACTTGTGCTAACAAAATCAGAAAATCCCGCAACTGGCAAGACAAGAATTAAAGAATAAATTTTCGAAAAAGAAAAAAAGAAAGATATACAAATGTATGTGACACCCACAATGCATCGCGCGGAAAAGAAAGTCAAGCTGCCATATTAGCGTCGCCTCGCAAAATTTACCACCATTAATGTGAGTCTTTGTCATTGTATTTACAAATTTCGATGTCTGATTATCATTAATACACAACACAAATCGTTTTCTTGATGTACAAGTAATGAAGAAAATGTCGATAAGGTTGTTTCATTTAATGACTAGCATCAGCAACTTGTAGGGGCGATAATCCAATTATTACAGTAATGTCCGGCAGATGGAGTAGGAGTAAACTTTCGATTTATGAACCAATGAAAACGAAGTACTGATATTCAGCGGCGACAGCAACATGCTGATGAGCATTGAAAATGCTCTTAGCATAAAAATTGGGTTTTTTATCCAACCTGAAAGGCAGCTATTGACATGGCTTCAAATTCATGATTATTAGGGTACTGGAAAATTTGTGCAGTCTGCATTGAGACAGCATATTCCTGAAGGCCCTCCAACACCCTCCTCCCCACAAAAACTCAAACTGACCCCTCCATTTCTTTTAACTTTAATAATGAAATAAATAATAAAATAAAGACGGCCATATTTATTTTCTGGCATTGGACAAAAAATGGCTGATAATGGCCTTTTGCTATCAACTAGCAGAATTGTCCCTTCTTTTCCTGTGAAAGAATACTAACATCAAAGTGACAGCTGATGCTGTCTACCTGCTGGTAGTCGACATATATAAAACTGATAATAGTCAGGAACATTACACACCAATTAGAAGACAACAGGTGTTGCTTATCCCCTGTTTTTGTGTAAAGTTTGTATTGCAACATTTTGGGGTCCTATTTCTGTGTAAGTTTTTTATGATTCTTGTTTTGTAGTGTATTTCAAAAGAACAATCACAGGAGTTTAAAATCATCATTCAACTAAACATAACAAATTACATGTAGTAAATATATCTCAACATTTATAAATGGTCGATCACTACACCATGTGGGTATATATGTACATACTTGAGAAGAAAACATGGAGGTCAACAGTTGTCCAGGTAAAAGTATAGATCTAAACACCGACTAATTCTTTAGTTTCAATAGTATAACAAGGCCGCACAAACAAAAAATCAACTTACCAATGATCTGCAAATATTGTCATATCTAGTCTTTTCATAATTAGTAATAGCTTGGCACTTTGAGGAAAACAGAAATTAAATACTGAACTGACAATGTGACATTTTTTCACATTTCAAACTATAAAAACTGATGAAAAAATAAACAAAATACTTAAATACATATCCACAAGTAACTTGTTTAGTACTTCAGCTATAAATCTTACAATACATTCCATTACATAATATCTATGAATTAAAGATAAATCTTGAAAACAGTAGACATTCTCACCTGTTGTATTTCAACTTCAGGTAGCAATGGAATTTCAGCAGCTATGTCTGGAATACTATGCTTTTCGTCTTTGTAACTTTTTTCATTATTGATAACGACCTGCCTATCACTTGTTGTGCGGACTTTGTGATATTCTGTCATGACTGCTAGAGTTACTATTTTTTCCAAAGCTTATGAATAACAATTACAAAATAAATCTGATATAGAAAGAGATTCTAAAAGAACAGGACACACATGAATTCAATCAATAATAAATAGTACACAAATACCTACAGATTACATAGAATAGCAGCTGTTACAGTGAAACTTCCATATATTAAAGGCAAGATCCGGCAAAAACATACCATACACAACTGACCACGCTGGTCAAATAAATTCCATTTGTAATTTAGTTTTAACAAAATACAGCACAGTCCTGGCACAATGTTAAGGATTACAGAAATACTAATCCCCACCAGCTTAATCTCCTGTTCAAGAAGGCTTTCAAAACTATAGCTCTAAAATATTAGGTTTGCTTTCCTTCAGGACTGATCCTGTGCGATTTTCAAAGCAATCAACTGATCAGCAAGTTCTCGCAATTCTTTTTTGCACATAAAAATCAGTTCTGAATGTATGCCAAGAATCACTACAAAGCAATGAGTATGAGGTAAAGGTCAAACTAGTATAGGCTTAACTGTTAGTAAACAAACTATTAAAGCATAACTAAATGGATTCATGATTCATTAATGTATGAACAAATCTGTAGAAAGATAACAATGACATTCCATACCATAATCCATCTCCATGGACTAATTTTATTATTACTATTTGGCAAATTGACAAGATCACTACTGATTGTAACTAGCAATATTATGAATCATTATATATAAATACCGAAATTATTTCCTTTACAAATGCATTCCCAAGACTTTAGTTCAAATGACAATATTTCTACTTTTCTTCCATGAGAAGTTTAAATACCATACTTTTAATGCATAATGAACATTAAACCATGTCAAAAATCGACAGATAGTTTTAACATATTGGATTTTTTCATTTTTTTCCCCCTTCTCATTTAATTTGCTTTGTTATAGTGTGGTTCTGTCACCTCTTTCGCTGTCATACTGCACATTCCAGCTAACACAATTTGAGGCCTCATCTACACAAATGATCCATAACAGAGCTTGAAATGTTTACTTATTATACATGTGTATGTACCAATTTGATAATGTAATCCAACCCAAGCTATTCCTATCTATTACATCAAACAAATCATTGTAATTCTTAAAATGCTTAATAAACAAAAAAAGAGATAATTTAAATAAAACATTGATCTATTGCCATTAGTATAAATCCATACTCTGTTGGGATATCAACACCAACGTCCACCAAAACAAGCCTTCTCCATGCTACAAGAGGCCCATAGAATTCATTAGGGTCTGTATTGCTAATCTTGATCTGAATGTAATAAAAAGGCCCCATCCCTTCCTGCCCGAACAAGGAAGGGTGAGGGGAGCCAAGACCCATCAGCAAAACAAAATTGATTCTCCTTCACCTAAAGATGCATCAGACTGAAATGGGACAAACTAGGCATTCCTACAAAAGAAAAATTATTTCTGAAGCATTTGTTCGATTTCCAATATTGGGCACTACTGTCCTGTTCTAGGGGTAAAATATCCACCATTTATATATAATTTATTTTCCCTTCACCAATTCAGCCAAGTTCAGCTAATAAAACCAGTGGGTTTTTAGAACTGATTATAATGCAGATCAGATAGTTGCGTTATGTGGATAAATTTGCAAATAATCAGACTAAGGCATTGCTTTCCCAAAAGGTAACTTCATGCCTTGGTAGCATGTTTTTTTAACTCTTCACTGTCATTTTGGATGATGTGACAGATAAATCCAGCTCAAACTTAATTTTCACAAGAAACTTTTGTATGATTCAAACAAGTGCAAAGTATTTATCTAAATTTTTTGATTGACCAAAACTTTCCCATATTGTAGATGACTAATGTCAAGAGTAACGAGTGTCACAACTGAATTTCTGTGTGCTTCTTATTCAAATTGTAATTTTTTACTATAACAGTCCAGGCCCCATTTTTACGGATCTTCCTTAAGAAATTTTCTTTAAGGTCGCAAAATATCTCCATTAACAGAAACATTAAGAGATACTGCTTCCAAGGATAGATCAACAATTGTCACAGTGACATGTACCTCTGCCTCATATCTGGTACAATTTGAATGTAAAACTGCATAACCACTACTGTAAAATCCTGCTGTGTAAATTTTGTGAAAAACTTCTGAAGACATGTGTATGATACAAATGCTAAACTGAAATTTCATCAAAAGAATTCAAAGTGAAATAAATTATAAAATAAATGTTAATAACACTCTATGTGTTAGTGAAGTTAAAATTATAAAAAACAATAAAAATTAACAATTTCATCTTTTCATCTTTTGAAACATTTTTTATTGTTTACTCTCTATCTGGCAGAGTACTGGTGCCATAGAGCAGCTATTTCAAATAGTAATACCCAATTTAACCTCTGTCAGTACTCAACATTTAAGTTTAAAACTGAAATTTATCAGGATTGAAGTACCTTTCTAGCAGTTCATTCTATGCACAACTTATTTTCACAAAAAATTGTCCATAATAACAGGGACATAAAATACAGTAATAATCTGTATTATACGTCCCTGATAATAATGATAAGTTTTAACACGGCTACTGGCAGCACTTAAAATGTCAATATTTTTTAAGAAATGTTCAAACTACATATTTCACTTCTTGAAAAAATAGTGTGCAGAAATGTTGTGTACAAATTGAACGAAAACTTATTTCATGTTTTAGGACTTTTTTCAGTGCAACTACTCTACTGTTTACAACTGATAAGTCAAACTGATCATAAATATATACTCTCTGTCATGAAGATATACAATTTTTCCTAACGTTGATGGTTATAATCTTAGTATTTATTATTATGACATACGCCTGCGCCGTAACTAATCAGTATGAACCAGCGTAAAGATATCGCCATATATGGTGTTTTTATTTTCCCGCGTTTTAATTGTAGTCTGCTTCCGAATGTAACAATAATGTAAACACGACATTTTGTAAATACTTCCGCGATTAGAAGCCGCGTTTACTTCGACTTGAGATCGAAGTTTGAATAACATTCTTATTCGCTGAGTGTATATGCGTCTTGGTATACACAATTCCACACATATACGTCAAATATTGGCACAGAGAACCATCTCGTTGACACGTCTAAAACCGAATCAACCGTGTCGGACATCAAGCACGTGTTCGTATGTTTCACATTACTACACACTTTCATTGATATTTCATCATCCTTCGGTTATCTCACTCACCAGGAGATCTACTTGTGCATCATTTTCTGTCTCGTTGTTTCTGTTCCCAGCTTCCAAATCATCTTGATTGGATAGAGAATTTCCGCCTGCCATATCGTTGTGCTGTTATATGTTCTGTTTATACATGGTAGCCAGACAGAGGGCGCTGTTGGGGCTTGCCACGGGAGTTTCCTCGTTTATTCACAATCTCTGTCAGAGTTGCTGTTCCTGAACAGTCATAATACACCAGTATTATTTTTATATAATTCATTCGTTTTTCAATAATCTTGAAATGGTTTGAGCCGTATACAGAGGTGTCATCGGGGTACCGCATCAACTCTGGGAGAGACTGGTATATTCAGTAACAGACCCAACATATTGCAAAACAATTTTGAAATATTCAGGAACAAATTAAACATCGTCTACTTGTTAGACAAAGGCCGTATTAGACATGCTGTTAATGATGCAAATAGTTTTTGGGTAATTGTTGTATAGAAATTAGATTTTATCGTGGGCGCAATTGTTCATAAAAAATAAAATGTTGCTACATCTTTAAACTTTAAAAAACAAAACATTATTATGATCTAGTACGTGTGTACGGTCAAAGTTTTCATATGTATATGTTTATATTCTTTGTGCAATATCAAGGACTATCCATCACTATCAACCGTGGTATAAACATTCTTATCTTTTATTTCTATTTGTTGTTTTCATAGTATTACTAACAAGACATATTTATAAAATCAGACAATCGTTTAGGTCTACAACATAATGTACATCCATGTAGGTAAAGAAGTTAATTTCCTTTACAGCAGTTATGTTGCAACATTTTTTTTATCATAATCACTATATTAGCTGGTGTTCAAGCATCGCTTTAGTGTTTAACTGGTTAAACATCCCGTTGCCGCCGACCCTGACTTTATAATAACTGTAAGCTTTTTAACCTTGATCCATGAATATTTTGTCCGAAGGTTGCCGAGCGTTTTTTTTTTAAAGTCCAACCAGATATAAATATTTCCGCGTAATTTATTGTTATCACTTAAATGCGTTATTACCAGTTTAACACCCACGAAAGTTAAAGATTTGTGTAAGTACAAATACAGGTCATTATATTTCTACATGTCGACCGTGCCATTTGACTAGCCCTTAGCACCTACTTTGTTTTCTTATTTATTATTTCAGCATCCCTTTTTCTGTCTGTTTTTTGCACCTTTCTTCTTTACTGCCCCTTTTCTTCTTAAACTTCGAAAATTTCATTTATGTACCGATTGATTTAGACCATTGCTAAGTTGTGCATATGTATAATTTATTATGGACAAGACATTAATAAGTTCTGACAACTTGCGTCCGACCCTTTTGTGTAATATTTATGCAATAAAATTTATTTAAATACAACACCCATTGGCTAAAAATTTGTGTTGAGTGAACACCCGTGTATGAGGACTGCTAGCCAAACCAGTACTGTGATTGGCTAGTGGCTCCTAAACTGTGTCCATTAAAATTTCCCCAAAAGAAAGAGATGTCAAATATGTTGTTGTTTTACCTCACCTGGGACTCATCTTCATTTCTTTCCTGTAGATCATCTTAACTCCTTAACAACATATCTTCTAATATACTTAAAAAAAATACTAGCCTTGAGAACAAAAGATCAGTATGTGTGAGTGAATTTGCTGTTTTATATGCTATGTTTTCTGATGTGTTGACAATTAAGTAAACACAGTCGACTTGATTAGTATGAATTGAACAGAATGTGCCTTTGACGTATGAAGATTTACCCTTTAATTGGCCCCTCCGACAAGTGAACCATTCATAAAAATTAATGGGGGACAACGAAAAGTTGCGTCATCTTGTATGTCACGCGGTGCAATGCTATTGATTTTGTTCGAAATTAATGAAAAAGATAAGAATAAAATTCTATACGTCCTCTTATAAACTTTGTTACGTGAAATTGTCCATATTCAGTCGACGTAATATTTACATGATAATGTATAAACACGCTACATGGTTGTACTTAGCGACAGTCTATTTTTAAACATCGACACAGCCGAATTGGTCTTCTATATATATATATAGTCTTAACTCGATTCCCCATCTAAAATCTTCTCCAGACTGATAAGTGTTGATTTCTATACATTGTTTAGCGTTGTTTCTCACGACTAATGTGGTACAAATACACCACCAATTCCATAACTCTTTCTGATTACAGGTTTGTACTGATATCGTCAACTTGACATTGCGCAAAAATTACAATACTTATCTTTGAACTTAAATCGTTTTCTTCGAGATCTAACAACTGTCAACTTATCACTGCTATCTTCATTATATTTAACTATAATTAGCGAGCTTCGACTTCTCGATTTTTGTGACATCATTGTCAAATGACATACGCCTAATATTCGTCGGGATGATATCATCGCAGTTGTGAACTGTTGAATCACACTTCTGACCAGATCTTGCTGCACAGTCATCATTGCCTTCGCCGTTTATTTCGCCAGAGCGATCGATACTATTTCACAGCACAGGCTACATGATGCGCAATGTTGAGATAATTCATTGGGTGTACTGAGGCAATCTGTATACGAACGTGTAATTATAAACGCTTACATACATGTAAGCATTTCTGCAAAATCGATCGAAGAGATATGCTATCAAAGTTGTATGATGTTACTGCAAGGTATGAACATATTACTTTTTAATGAAATATTCTGTTTGAGAATATTAGTCTTTTTTAAATTTAAACACGGATTCCAATATAACATTTTTCTGTAACCGACAACACTGATTACATTTGTTGCTGTGTGGTGTTACTGATGTAATCTTTGTGTATTGAAGTGGTCAATAACTGGTCGTTATACTGTTTTATGTAAAAATATCTTACAGACTTCCCTATATATCTTACAGACTTCCCTATATATCTTACAGACTTGAAGTGGTCAATAACTGGTCGTTATACTGTTTTATGTAAAAATATCTTACAGACTTCCCTATATATCTTACAAACTTACCTATATATCTAACAAACTTCCCTATATATCTAACAAACTTCCCTATATATCTTACAGACTTGAAGTGGTCAGTAACTGGTTGTTATACTGTTTTATGTAAAAATATCTTACAAACTTCCCTCTATATCTTACAAACTTCCCTATATATCTTACAGACTTCCCTATATATCTTACAAACTTCCCTATATATCTTACAAACTTCCCTATATATCTAACAAACTTCACTATATATCTTACAGACTTGAAGTGGTCAATAACTGGTTGTTATACTGTTTTATGTAAAAATATCTTACAGACTTCCCTATATATCTTACAAACTTCCCTATATATCTTACAGACTTGAAGTGGTCAATAACTGGTCGTTATACTGTTTTATGTAAAAATATCTTACAGACTTCCCTATATATCTTACAGACTTCCCTATATATCTAACAAACTTCCCTATATATCTTACAGACTTGAAGTGGTCAGTAACTGGTTGTTATACTGTTTTATGTAAAAATATCTTACAAACTTCCCTATATATCTTACAGACTTGAAGTGGTCAATAACTGGTTGTTATACTGTTTTATGTAAAAATATCTTACAGACTTCCCTATATATCTTACAGACTTCCCTATATATCTTACAAACTTCCCTATATATCTTACAAACTTCCCTATATATCTTACAGACTGGTGGTCAATAACTGGTTGTTATACTGTTTTATGTATATCTTACAAACTTCCCTATATATCTTATATCTTACTTCCCTATATATCTTACAACTTCCCTATATATCTTACAGACTTGAAGTGGTCAATAACTGGTCGTTATACTGTTTTATGTAAAAATATCTTACAAACTTCCCTATATATCAATAACTGGTTGTTATACTGTTTTATGTAAAAATATCTTACAGACTTCCCTATATATCTTACAGACTTGAAGTGGTCAATAACTGGTTGTTATACTGTTTTATGTAAAAATATCTTACAACTTCCCTATATATCTTACAGACGTCAATAACTGATTGTTATACTGTTTTATGTAAAAAATATCTTACAAACTTCCCTATATATCTTACAAACTTCCCTATATATCTTACAGACTTCCCTATATATCTTACAGACTTGAAGTGGTCAATAACTGGTTGTTATACTGTTTTATGTAAAAATATCTTACAAACTTCCCTATATATCTTACAAACTTCCCTATATATCTTACAGACTTGAAGTGGTCAATAACTGGTTGTTATACTGTTTTATGTAAAAAATATCTTACAAACTTCCCTATATATCTAACAAACTTCCCTATATATCTTACAGACTTGAAGTGGTCAATAACTGGTTGTTATACTGTTTTATGTAAAAATATCTTACAGACTTCCCTATATATCTTACAGACTTCCCTATATATCTTACAGACTTGAAGTGGTCAATAACTGGTTGTTATACTGTTTTATGTAAAAATATCTTACAGACTTCCCTATATATCTTACAGACTTGAAGTGGTCAATAACTGGTTGTTATACTGTTTTATGTAAAAATATCTTACAAACTTCCCTATATATCTTACAGACTTCCCTATATATCTTACAAACTTCCCTATATATCTTACAGACTTCCCTATATATCTTACAGACTTGAAGTGGTCAATAACTGGTTGTTATACTGTTTTATGTAAAAATATCTTACAAACTTCCCTATATATCTTACAGACTTCCCTATATATCTTACAAACTTCCCTATATATCTTACAGACTTCCCTATATATCTTACAGACTTGAAGTGGTCAATAACTGGTTGTTATACTGTTTTATGTAAAAATATCTTACAGACTTCCCTATATATCTTACAGACTTGAAGTGGTCAATAACTGGTTGTTATACTGTTTTATTAAAAATATTCTATATATCAAACTTCCCTATATATCTTACAGACTTCCCTATATATCTTACAGACTTGAAGTGGTCAATAACTGGTTGTTATACTGTTTTATGTAAAAATATCTTACAAACTTCCCTATATATCTTACAGACTTCCCTATATATCTTACAGACTTGAAGTGGTCAATAACTGGTTGTTATACTGTTTTATGTAAAAATATCTTACAAACTTCCCTATATATCTTACAGACTTCCCT